GTTGACCATTTTAATTTAACTATGCTAATCACAGTTATCAACTAATAAGTGGTTTATTCATAAGTACATACTGTATGCTTACGAAGGTTAAGAGTAAATTCCAATAACCAGGATACAGGCACTTCCTTATAAGGGATTACTACTATTCCACAAAATTCTATGCACAAGGTAACCTCAGAATTTGTACTATAAAACAATTTAGGGCCACTGCTGTAACATCAATCTGTATCATGGAGTACATTAACTGTCATTAAATCACCTAAACCACTGTATAAACCAAGCATGTTTGATTTTATTTTGTTTCTTTGAAATTCATGTACAGTGTATGCTTCTTTTCGAGATGGACTTCTTTTCAAGGCTAATTTTGCAAACTAAAGGGGCGGGACTTCAATTCGAAATGGGCTTCAATTCAAGGTATTATGGTATGTTTATAAAGCTCTGTTCACATTATAACGTTTATGAGTATGATGACGTCCTAATGTGGCACAAACCACAGATATTTGTTTTGATAGTGTGGACATAGCTTCAAACCAACTCCATTTCAGCACAAAATACATTTTAAATTTGGTTTTACCTTGAGAGCAGTAGCTGCTTTGTTCCATTCTGGTACAAGGTTTTTGCAATGGCCGCACCTGAGCAAAAATAGTAAGGTGTTTATAAAATATTTATAGAGACTAGATCTATTTATTGACTATATACTTCTAAAACTAACAAAGTTTCCTAAAATGATGTATCAGATAACTATTACTACTGTAATTCCTCGGGTATAAGCCCAACCCCTAATTTATGCCAAATTTTGTGTACCAGCCCAGGGTAAGAGAAATATTCTCAGAAAAAACATATCAAGTACTGGTTTTGAATTTAAATTAGGCAAACAGTGCCATTCAATTGCCATTGATTATAGGAATTCCCCACATATAAATAAGCCCACTAACAAAAATTGGCCCAATGTTGTGTTCAAGAGCTGTCTCTTATACACAGGGTTGTCTAATACTAGAACCTGTACTAGAGTACCAGTAACTATGTTAATAGTTGAAATACTCCAAAAAATAATATTTTTTAGGGGAAGGTTGCATAACTAATAACCAAAAGAAAAGTGACACAAATTTGTTTTGAATTAACATGTCATACTCTTTAATTTAATGAATACTACTATCAATAGTTAAATTACTGTAATTGTATTTTTAATATATAAGGCTCTGATGTGCTTCCTTACCAAGGTGCGTAAAATTCTACTAGCCAAGGATCATCACTGTTAATAACTTTATCTTGGAAATTGCTGGCTGTGAGCTCAACTACATCAGATGTTTTGCTATACAAAGCAAAGCAGTATTCTACTGCCACAAACACAAGCAAAACTAGACCTGGAAAGCAAGATTTTAAAGAGACAGAAGCATTAAAAAAATGAAAGTGGATATATTTGTGGCCAAGACAAGCTAAACCAGTCACTCGTCGCAAAAATCGATTTTGAGTTATTAATACAGTGTTACAGAATGAAATAATAGTTATATAATAATGGTAAAATTTTTTTATTAAAATAAAACGGTCAAGATTAGGCTAGGCCAAGCCTGGGACCTACCACCACCATCAAATATATTTCACTGATCATTATTTACTCTAGGGCCTAGGCCTAAAAATATTATAGAAGATAGGGGCCTAAGGCCCTGCTTAGGCCTAGATATGATATCTCACTCTCGCAGAGTAAGACAGAGAGGCAGGTATTTATATTCTAATTAACCACGACCACAACTCTAACCTCCCACCCCATCTTAAACAAGCTAGGCCTAGACTATGCCCTCTAGCCTAGGACCTCCTCTCTAGGCACTCTAACTCAGGGCCTAGAGAGGCCTAGCGCTAGCCTAGGCGGTAAGCTACCTACGGGCTGGGCCTAGCCTAGCTGGCCCCATCCATGGAGGAAGCTAGCAGACGCCGATTTATTACTCCTATCCATTAGCACAAAGGCGAACTTTCAAGAAAACACTACTGTAGTACTTACTATACGACTTCCACATTTTCAGCAATACACTCACTTTACAAAATGACAACAACAGGGTTATCAGTCAATCGAAATGATTTAAGGCCTAAGCCCACAACTTTTCTCAGCCCGCTTACGACAGCACTCACTTCTGCTATCACACGTGTACTTAAACGGTGTTTGTGTTGACTAAAGATACACCCTCGACCGTGGCTAGTTTTGATTGGTTCAATTTTGAATCGATTGTGGAGGCGCTCGGCGGAAGCAAGTTCTTTCAGTGGATCTGTTTTAACAATTTGTCACCTGACTGAATTTTAAGACGGGCACTTGCTTTCGTTTCATTTTATTTTATTTCACACAACGCAAAAATCCATTATAAAATTCTTTTCAATAGTAAGTAAATAACAAGGGCAATGTAATATAGTTATATACGTAATAATAGCAAATTGGTAATTAAACAAAATTACAATAAATAGCAATAGATGAAGATAATGTTATTATCAATAATAATAATAATAATAATAATAATAATAATAATAATAATAATAATATATAATAATAATAATAATAAAAGTAGTCGTAAAACAAAAATAAAGATGCTAATAATAATAAAATAATAACAATAGGCCAATAAAAAGAATTTAAAAAGTACTAACATTATCAGAACAAACAACAGTAAAAATAGAAAGTTAAATAAATAGATAATAATAATAATAATAGGCCCTCATAATAATAAAAATAATAATAATAGTCCCTAGTTATAATAATAATAATAATGATAACAATAATAATGATGATGATAATAATAATAATAATAATAATAAAAATAATAATAATAATAATAATAATAATAATAATAATAATAATAATAATAATAATAATAATAATAATAATAATAATAAATAATTAAATAATAATAATAATGATAACAATAATAATGATGATGATAATAATAATAATAATAATAATAATAATAATAATAATAATAATAATAATAATAATAATAATAATAATAATAATAATAATAATAATAAAAATAATAATAATACTTTCAGACTGGTTTGTATTGACATGGTATTGACGACATTTCTTCACTTTGGTTAGAGATTAAATATGTCTTGATAAATTATATGTTGATAAATGATTAATGAACTCACTCTCACTTTTACACCTCCCTGATAACAAAAAAAAATGTAAACTTGAAAAAAAAATCAACGTTAGAACAGGGAGATGTAAAATTTTTTACATCTCCCTGGTTAGAACATTTGTACCATTTCCGTTTATTGGAATAGGCCTAAACGCCCCGGGCGTTTAATGTTGTTGATAATCGTTTTCGAGGGAGACGTAGTGTTTTTTGTTTTTTGCTTTTTGTTTTTGTAGTTTCGTTTTGTTTTGTTTTTTTGTTTTTTGTCTGTTTTTTGTGTAGGCTAAAATGGATACAAATATTCAAATAAATACCCCTCAATTTAACTGCAAGTGGAACTACAAAGCATTCTGTAATTACCGTCAGATGTGGTTGGACAGTGATCATTATATACTTATTGATCCCAACCAGGTAAAAAAATGTAATTCTACTGGAATAGTACATTAATAGAATGTACTGTTTTGTTTACAATCATTTAGGGGGTGTTTATTTAAGGAAAAAAATAAACGCACATGGGCGCGAGGCCTATAAGAATACAGGAAATGTAATTTTACACTATAAATGTCCGATAAAACGGGGGAAACCGTTTTTGTCTTTCAATTTTGAGTTTCAGCTAAATATAAGCCTACATATTGAGCAATTCAAATACGAAATTTGATTCTTTATTTTTCTTTAGATCATGATAGAAAACGGTAGGCCTACTCTGTATATCTTTATTGATTAAAAATAATGCTTTTTAAAACGACTCGCCGTGAAAGTAGTAGGCACTGGGTCTAATTGCAGTTGAAGCACAGTAACAGTTTCCAGAGGGTTACCGGGAGTTTTTAAATTTGAAAAAAAGGATACAAATATAACATGTTACAATAGGAATTATGCTTAAACCCACGACCCTGAGATTAAAAGTCCTATAACGACTGAGCTAATCGGTCTTGGTATTATAACACGCTCTAAAGCAACGTTAGAAAAGGTGATAGACTTGTCAAATTTGAAGAAACAGAATTTAAGAAATAGCATTTGAGAAGAACAAGAGCGACCGCCCAACAGTCCACGCGTTCCACTACGCCTAAATACGGTACAGGCGCAAGTTATTATATTGGTTCCTTTTTTTTTTTGTTTTTTTTTTTTTTTTGTTTTTTTTTTTTTGTTTTGTTTTTGTTTTTTGGAAGAGCTAATATCATTCTTAAATACGGTACAGGTACAAGTTATTATATTGGTTTTTTTGGAAAAGCAAATAAGATTACAATTTTTGAATAGGCCTAATTTGAATGTTGTACAAAAAAAATATTATTTAGAATGTTCATTTGTACAAAATTAAAATATCTTGAAATTGGAAAAAGTGAAATTTCTTAAAAATGGAAAAAAAATTAAATTCCAAGACGCGATTCGAACTCACAACCTTACGTTTTTAGATCCTTAATCGACCTCGCCATCATCCATGTGACGTGCCATGTTACGGTGGTAACGGCAGTAATGTAGGCCTACAGTCCTTGCTGAAACCCCTGTTTTGTTTTGTTTTGTAGGTGTAGGAAAAACCCTGGGGGTCGAACTTAAAAAAAGGACGATGAACGTTTGTTGGAAATCACCTCTAGTTTATGTGTAAAAAATTTCCTGTACGTCTGCTCAAAACTGGCGACGCTGGACGCTAGGCCCTCTTTAGGCTAGACGCGCCTAGACGGTTGGAAGCGACGATCGAAAAAAAAAACGGTTAAGCAAGCCATGGACTTCCATTCCTCAGTATTAAAATCCTTCCATTGATGGGCACTGTCTAAAACTTTCTTCCAGCTTATCTCTGAAAAAGATTGTAACCTTTTCGTCTGCAGTTGGCTCAACATGAATTACACAGGAGCCAGTGAGCTTCCATGACGGTCATGACACGTTTTTGTTTGTTATTATTTCGCGACGTCATCAACGAGTACAATACATTCATTATCCACCAATCAACCAAACTGCCTTATAAAAAAAAAAAATTGGTTCGTGTGGGAATCGAACACACAACCTCCATGTTTGCTATTCATTATCCACCACAACTAAAGTGGCTTAAAAAAAAAAAAAAAAAAAAAAAAAAAAAAAAAAAAAAAAAAAAAAAAAAAAACTGGCTCGTGTGGAAATTGAACCCACGACCTTAAAAAAAAAAAAAAAAAAAATTTGAAAAAAAAACTTGCCCCGTGTGGGAATGGAACCCACGATCGCCGAGTTTACTACCCTTGATCCAGCATGACTAAGCGAAGGGAGGTAAACCGCGGCCCCTAAGCCATAGATGCGAAAACATAGTACCGCACCAAGTACCAGTTAGTCAACTCTGATCCTACTAGAAAAAATTCTTCGTATATATACAATGCAGGTTAATATTACGCACGGTCATGGTGTCAAAATTGGGCCGTGGGCCAAGAGGGTTTATTTTTTTGTCTAAAAATGTAGAATTAAATTTATAATCGATCTTTGATTGTTACCATCTCCATAACTTACGCACTTTTTTTTAAATAGACAAAAATGTTTGAAAAATTCAATATGCAAATTAGTTACCATGTTACGGGAAACCTTGTGGTTGTGTGTTCAATTCTCACACGAACCAATTTAAAAAAAAAAAAAAATTTTAAGGCAGTTTAGTTGATGGTGGATAATGAATAGCAAACCTGGAGGTTGTGTGTTCGATTCTCACACAAACCACTTTTTTTTAAGGCAGTTTAGTTGATGGTGGATAATGAATAGCAAAACCTGGTGGTTGTGTGTTCGATTCCCACACGAACCAATTTTTTTTAAATTTTAAGGCAGTTTAGTTGATGGTGGATAATGAATAGCAAAACCTGGTGGTTGTGTGTTCGATTCCCACACGAACCATTTTTCCCCTTAAGATGGTGGATAACGAATAGCAAACCTGGTGGTTGTGTGTTCGATTCCTACACGAACCATTTTTTTAAAGGCAGTTTAGTTGATGGTGGATAATGAATTGCAAACCTGGATGTTGTGTGTTCGATTCTCACACAAACCAATTTTTTTTTTTTTTTAAGGCAGTTTAGTTTATAGTGGATAATGAATAGCAATACCGAGTGGTTGTGTGTTCGATTCCCACACGAACCATTTTTTTTTAATGCAGTTTAGTTGATGGTGGATAATGAATAGCAAAGCTGGTGGTTGTGTGTTCGATTCCCACACGAACCAATTTTTTTTAAATTTAAAAAAAATTTTTTTTTTTTTTAAGGCAGTTTAATTGATGGTGGATAATGAATTGCAAACTTGGAGGTTGTGTGTTCGATTCCCACACGAACCAATTTGTTTTTTTGTTTGTTTGTTTTTTAAGGCAGTTTATTTGATGGTGGATAATGAATAGCAAACCAGGGGCATAGTTTAAAGAACCCCTTCTAATAAATCTGCCAAACATTGTGTTTGTGGGATTTTGGTCTATTTGGTTTTTGTCGGAAATTATATAAAATGTTACGTATTGTTAAGGCGTTGTAGGAGAGTGCTGAGTATCAGTGTTACTGTAAGTATAAGAGGTGGCCTCTCCATGGCCCATTTGGACTCGGACTTCGCCCAGAAAACACATGCGTTACTTAAGGCTTGGTAGTAATGTGTTAGGTAGTACTGTAGTAGGAGCGCCCCCCACCCCTCCGAGAGCTTACGCAAATGGGTCCTGTTTATTTTAATATGATATGCCATAATTGGACTTTATGGGACAATATATGAAACACTGTTTCTGATATATAAACTGCCATACATTATTCAGCATCGGAAGAGCTTTCCAACGACCAAACACGACTACTTTTTGGTGAGTTTATATACTTATTCTTATTTTATACACATTTAAAGTATATTTTGCGGTTATTTTAAAACAAATAAACACATATTTTTGAATTATGTTCCATTCTGGCATGAGTGACAGTAGTTTTTATATGTCTGGTTTGGTGCCTGTATAGAAATTATGAGTTTAGACACCATCAGCATCATATCTGTAGTTTATTTAGTTCCAATTATAGGCCTATGCACATTTTAGATAAATTTGGCGGCCCATTTTGAAAAATGGCCGCCATTTGTATACCAGGTAAAAAATCAAGACGGTTTAATTAGGATATCTGGCTATGTTGACTACTTCTAACATTCCACTCCCCCTAACTTGATTTCTAGGCCTCTTTTTTATTTTTTTTCCTAGTCTATATTAAGATTCTAAATTAGTGAAATTTTTTCGTCAGAGTTTTTGTCAAGCACACCATTTTTGTGACAAATAAAATCTACTCTTTGTATTGTCATGTCAGAAAGCACATCAAATAATATAATAAACGTTTGAGAATGCATAGCTCTCTTGGTGGCGTGTGTCCAGGATTTGAGCTTCTGGAAACAGTGCCAATCTATTTTTGTAAACAATCGATATCACGAGAACGATGGAAAACACATTGAAAGGTAGAAAGTTATGTTTAAATCTTGAATTATGATGTTTTGTTGGCGCCTTTGACACATTATCTAGCATAGACTAGGTCGGGTATGCATAACCTAGGCTAGAGAAGAGTAAAGGCTTTAGTAAAGCCCTTTCAAAAGGGAGGGAATTGTTTGGTGGTAGTAGCACCTAGGCCTAGTAGTAGTAGGGTAGGCTAGCTAGGTAAAGAAAGGTATGCTACTAGTACTACTACCCTGCCCAGCCAGGCTAGAGATAGAACTGGTGTCTGCTAGACCCAGCTAGCTCTCAGCAGAGAAGCTAATGTGTAGACCAGCTAGTGGCCTTTTAGAGAGAGACCATAGTAGACTTTAATCGCCTTAACATAATTACAAGTAAAGGGGACTAGGGGCCTAGCCCTAGCTAGGTAGGCAGAGACATGATCGATGGTTTTTAATGTATTTTATTATGACAATTCCCATGAGATATTTTACGATTTCTTTTATCAGACAGTGTATTTTTTTTTTTTCTTTTTCTATGTTCAGACACCGGTGAAATCCATGCCCGACTACTGGACCATAGACCAGTAATTCAAGGCGAAATCAGGTACTTCATCAAGGAATTTGAAAGCAGACGTAGCAACCGAGAAATGAAGAGGTTAAAAAAAATCCAAGAGCACACCAATGATATAAACGACAGAGTACTCCCACAATGTGAAGATTTCATGGAGACACATTTGAATTGTATGCAAGAAACTAGTAAGTGATGTGACTCAAGAAAAGTATAAATAAGAAAGAATTAGTTTAAGCATATGCGTTCAAACAAAAACAATTTCTTTAAATATTATAGCCATACTGTAAAGTTTTTTTTTTCTGCGGATGATACCTCAAAAACCAGCTCAAATTTGCGTGAAAAATTGCTAGGTAAATAGGTGCGCAGAATCATAATTACTTCATAAAATATTGTTATTAATATTAAGATTAATTCAAAGCCTAATTTTCAGCAAAATCTGGGCAGAAATCGGCCCTTATTTTCTGAAATGCACGGATGGATTTCTAGGCCAAATTTTTGCGCGGAGAACATATTCCCTCCACAGGCCTTGCTATACAGACTGGTATTATAGGACTTTTGTTTAGTTTATCACCTACCTTACACCTTAGATATAAAAATGTGTATAGAATTATGTACTTTTCAGATCCTCTTTTTTTATATTTCATTGTGGAACCAGTGGAATAATCATTATAGGTTATAACCTACTACTGTAATTTGTCTTTATTATGGGGACTGAATTTAAAATTCTTTTCCTATTATTATGCACAATAACTAATAAATGTTGATGTTTCTCGTAATTTTCAGTGCTTGGAACAATTAAAATGTGTGAGAGAATTGCTACTGCTGAAGAACGGAGCATGCAGTTAGGAGGTCAACAGGTGAAGTTCCTAACCTTTAGATTGATAAATAATGGGAACTGGCCTAGTGCTTACGTGGATTCAGCTCTAAGAGACATGAACCTTCAAAATACAGTTTCTTCAAATACCCAATCTAAACTTGATCTACAATAAGTGCGAAGTCTGAGGTAGTTTAGCGCAGCGGAAATGGTTTCCTAACCTCTAGGTCAGGGTTTCAATCATTTGCTGTGCATTTCGCTTGTGTCCTTGAGCAAGGCACTTTACCTACATTGCTTCAGTCTACCCAGCTGTATCAATGAGTACCAGTGAATTGCTGGAAGTAACCTGTGGTGGGCCAGTGTCCCACCCAGGGGGAGCATCATGCTCTCATCTGCTTCACGCTACAGAAACTGGGGATAAGCTCCAGCCCATATGAGCCCTGTACCTCTGCAAGGATTTTCTATGCTTGAAGGAAGCATGAATGTAATTGTTATTAGATATAGCTTCGTGAGATGAATAAGTTTGGTGACTTTTTTTCATTATTTATTTCTGTAGGAATCATTGAAAGAAAATCGAATGAGGCGTGATAAGGAATGGAAAGCATTTACTGAAAAGCTTTCAGAAGAACAAGCAGCAATAGACACAAAGCACCAAATACGGGTAAATGAGTTGGAAGATCAGTATAGTAAAATGAAGATTCTGATAAGTAAATGAAGATTACACATAATTAAATTTTATTTTAAAAAAAACACTGTCTTTTATTGGCTCAACTCAACCTTGTGGTGCTCAAAATCAAAAGACCATAGCCAATCATATCCACCAAGTGGCTAAATGCAGAAAGTGAATTATAGCAGATGGTATTTTTAGAAATTATAATTATGGGTAAATTACTTCTGTTTGTTATTTAACATCAACGATCACTTAAGAACAACCGCTATCTACTTTTTGCCATAAAGATGTTTCAAGCACAGATTTAAAGTTTAGAGAATAGCTGGGGTAACACCTGTAAAACTGGGTGAAACATAACAATGTTCTTTAATATTTTATTGTTTAATTGGAAGAATTTAATAATTGCCTTTTGTGCTCATCAGCATGAATTAGATTAGATAAATTGAGGTAATCTAAGACTATAAAATGGTGAACATTTTATTTGTGGCTTTTGCCAAGTATTATCAGTACTCAGAACGAGTGGAGTTAAATACTAGCTTGGTGGTTAAGGCACTTGTCCTCAAATCCCAGGGTCCTGGGTTCAACTCCTGTCATAGTGTCACAGTAACAAGATATTTTCTCATGACCAAAACAACTCCACTCCCTAAGCCTCATAAGGAGACTTAATTTATGTAGAGCATCTTGTGTTTATGCTGGACTTGTGAAGGGATATGCCACTTTGAATAGTGATTAAGTTCACTGCTTGTCATACCTTAGCCTTCCACCTAAACTAATTATTAAAAAAAAAAACAATAAAAGTAGGCCTACTGTGATTTCCATCATGTGAAATAGTCTTGCAACCATCAACTGCTGGTTGGATGCAAGACTATTTCACATTCAACCAGCAGTTGATGGTTGCATTGCTTCAATGTGATATCTGATGTAGTAGAACCCCAATAAAGGGAATTTCAGGACCAAAATTAATAGGTGTTCCCTGAATAGGGTTGGCCACAGTGTTAAAAAAATATAATTTCCCTTGTTTTGTGGCCGAAGAAGTGTCCCCTTAATAAGGGTTTCCCAAAGGAGATGTTCTACTGTATCCGATGAAATCTGGAAAACCCCTTGAAATTCAATTGAAATTAATTTATTTCTCATTAAAATGATTAAAATAAATATATCAAATTCCAATGAGACATATCAAAACACTCCAGTTTTAATTGATAGTGTATTTAGAAATGTAAATAATTATCATAGATATAATAATTTATTTATTTGGGAACATTTGCTAACAGATAAGGGCTTTATGATAATAAATCTGTTACACACAGAAACATATGATGAGGGTTATGGGTGCAAAATCAATCACTCCACTCCCCAAACCCCTGTTTATACTATTTGGCAAATGACAAATTACTGTGATTTGCCCATGTAGTGAATTAATTTGGGAGTGATATGTCATTATTATTTGTACAGTATTGTGAAACAGAGGTCAAAGAAAATACTGATTGTTTAAAGTTTATAGACTTTATTTTCATCATTTAAGTTGTCAGTCGTAAAAAAATATATCTACTCAGAAATTTTTTGCCTGCAGTGAATAATTTAATATTCAAAGAACATAGAATTTTTATTGGTGACTATCATGTGAAAAAAATACTGCCACTATTAGTAAAGCTTAAGTGCAATTTCTACCATAATGCAGTATCAATCTAGGCCTACTGTACCTTTAAAATAATTGCCCATCGACACACCCATAACTGACAGTAGTTAACATCAATAATAATGGTGTAACTTCCTTCATTGGAAGACTTTTAAATATAGTTAAAATTAAATTGTGGTCTTTCCCACCACCGTTTCAATGTTTTTACAGTACTTATACTTATAGACAAACAATAAACTCTACAGACTGTAAAATGAGGCTGATCAAATAAAGCATACAGTATTTATTATTCTGATTGACCCTGGTACTAACAACTCAATTTTTTTTGACAAAAGAGAAACTTGTACGTATATCTTTTTTAAAATTTTTTAAAAAGTGTTTTATTAATTAGTTTTGATTTACTTGGTTTTTTTTTTTCCCTTTGGACGCACCGTTACGTGCCACTGTTGTACAGTAAAAGTGCCGTATCCAGGTTCATCCAGTTAACACGGTTATCAACAGCATTAATTTGATTCGGTGTCTACCAATCAATTTGCATGGTTAAATTTATGTATATTTTGGATTAACTGATCATTGGAAATGATTAAACAAAAACAATGCAAATGTAATACATTCTATTATTTTTGACTGACACTATCTATTGTTTTTCCAGCATTTTTTCCCCCTCTGTTCTATTTTGGCCAAAAAAAAATGCTCTAAACCAATAATGATAAACATTTACAGTATATATTTAAAACTACCCAATACAGTACTAAAATATACCCATTACACACAACTATAAACTATGCAACCACCTACTATACAAAATGTACAAGAATTATTTACACATCAATCAATGTTTACAATGATGTCTTCCTGAAGTTTTTTTAACAATTGATTACTTTTGTATACATTAATTCAGCTATATAACTATAGACAGAACAGACATTTAAAAAAAAGAGAGACTTTCACCCCTACCACTTTAATAATTATCTTCCCAGTCCCTTTCTTAAAAAAAGGAATTTACATAATTTAGGGCTAGTGACTAAAATAAACAAGGTGTATACAGGTATTGGGCATCTGCCCACATTTACTGCTTCTAGGCCCTATCAACCTTGTGTAATAGCTATTGAAATAATTTTGTTTGAACACTGACATTTTAAACACAACAGAATACAAACCCCCAGCAAAAGTACTGTAAGCGTAACATATGTCAAGTTATGCAATTTGTAGGTTATCCTTTGTAATCTGTTAGTTGTTAACGTTTTTATTGTTGCAAAAATTTTTTATTACATGTATGTTTTCATATAAGTACAAAATTAATGGTGTAACATTTTAACAATCCCACAGGAATTGTAGAATTTTTGCGATATTTCACTAAAATTCTATATCATCCTACTCTAGTATAAAAAAAAATCATTGCTATATTTTTTAAGAAGTTTAAAGTTTACTTGTGTATTTTAAATATAAACAAATTAGTCATATAATAATAATAATAATTATTATTAACACATAAAACCTTTATGATAACCAATATGAATCACAAAAATTAACTTATCAAAAATGTATTTTCTATCAAATTATAAATGCATTGAAAACTTGAGTAGAAACCTCAAATTGATTATAAATTTAACTTGCTCAAATCAGGTATCATAAAATAATAATTTTAACAAAATATTCTCCAGCGGTCAAAATTGGTGGGATAAAAAGAGAACAATTTGGAGGATAAGAAAAAGAAACTGATTTTCAATCATTCATTACCTTCTTCAGTTTAAACAGAAGTAGAAACTTCAAAATTGAAATAAGAATTTCAAAGTGTACAGTAATAATTATTAACACTGTACAAAAAACTTTATAACAAACCAATATAATTTGTTATGGAATCACTAAATTAACTCATCAAAAATGTATTTTCTATCAAATTATAAATGCATTGAAATCTTGAAGTAGAAACTTCAAATTGATCCTAAATTGTAAACCTAAATTTATTCAAATCAGGTACTTTAAAATAATAATTTAAAAAAATATTCTCTTGCAGTCAAAAAATTGATGGGATAAAAAGACAAAAACTTGGAGGATAACAAGAAAAATAAATTGATTCTAATCATTCATTACCTTCTAGTGTTTAAATAATATTAAGTAGCATGAAAAAATCATAACAGTAAGCCCATAATAAGTACCCTGTACTCAGATACAAACATACTTTTCCTGTGTTGGTGACCTGATAACATGATCTGTAAGAACCTACAGTGCATTACAACTTTGATAACGTTCACAGTAATGTGGACAAAATCTATTGACAAAAAAATTTGATAAGTTTACCATTACAAATTGATGTTTAATAAAATTGTTGAAAAATTTTTTTTTTTAAATTTCAAATGTTCAATTTCTTCTAAATTAGTTATAAATTAATCAAAAGATACCTGAAAATATTTAATTTGTGATCATTATTGCTTCAAACCTCCACTCTATTCTGATAAAGTTCAGGTGTGGGATAGCACTCAATTTCAATCCCAGGGTCCTGGGTTCAATTCTGGAAAAATGTTAGGATTTATCTTATAACGATATAAAAATATATATAAAGAAATTATACTGTATATATAAAAAGGAAAAGACAGATAATGTGAAAAAATATCACCTGTCAATTAAGTATTCAGAAATAAAAGGTAAAATTAAAAAAAAACAATATTTCTAACTTATGGAATTATAAAAAAAATAATTTTGAATTTGTAGATTATAAACAAGTATAGAAATGAATAAAAATACATTATTATTGGATAAGGTTTGCAAATTAAATACTGTTGTTTTAAAGTGCATTGATTTCTGGAAAGAAAAAAAGCATTCTGACCTCTAAATAATGGAATAATCCTGCTCTAACAACTATATCTACAATACCACATCACACAGATTATCACACAGTAAAAAGTATCAAAATCACTGGCTTAGACTCAGAGAAAAGCACCTTATCAAAAACTCAGTCAAACATTATTTAATACAAAAACTAACCTAGGAATGATTATAATAATTGAATTGCAAATTTGACTAAAAGCAAAAATTCATGAAAAATATTGAGGATTAATAATTACCTTTGACTAATTAATTCAATGATTGATTAGCAGAGTAATCACTATATCTTCACCTTCTTTTATTAATTATTTATTGTGACTTCATTTTCAACATTTATTGTCAATGTGGCTCTTTCTTTACCATTCATTATAGTTTTGGTTTTCTCAATTTACCTAACTCATTTTAATTCTCATGCCTTATCTTTGATCTCTTCATCCGACACTCTTCTATACTGCAACAATCATATCGGGATGTCCTTGCAGACATTTAGAATTTACTGAAGTTACGACAAAGACAAGGCGGCAAGTCATTTGGGAATCATGGAACATTTCTTTTATTGGGCACATATGTTTCATTTCAGCTGAGTATCTTAGCAGCTTCTCTGATGCCGCTTAAGTATGCACCGGTTACAGTCTGTGGAAAATGACGGTTGGATGCCTACAAGAAAAATAAATTTTTTTAATTAATTTTAGTAACGTTTGGCTCTGCCTCTTATACAAATGTAATAATATATGATCCTTTAAATGAGCAAGCAAATTTATGTTGTAATTGAAATTTTGAGGGATTTTTAAAATTTTAACACAGACATGATATACAGTTGAACTTGCCTAAGTCAAATCCAAAATGGCATTAAAAAATTGTTTGACTTGGATAAAATTAAACTTACAGATCATTATTTAATGGAAACTATTCGAGTTAGGCAAAGTTGACAAAGGCAAGTTAAACTTTAAGTATAAAGAAATGATAAAGAACCAAAAATTACAATAATCTTCTACAACATACACAATCAAGACTCTTTAACATAGGACACCCACACACATTTTTTGACAAGGTAACAGGCTTTAATGATGACATTTTTGACAATCAATGTATTAATATTAATCTATTAACACTAATCTATTTCACCAAATGCCACTTGCTATTATTGTTTATTTCAATCTATGTCCTTATAAAGGTTGATAAAATAGAAATTCAGAGTTCTTTATAATTAGTTGAGTATTTTCCCCTCAAAGACTCACTTGAGATTTCAGTTGAATTGTGGACCAGAACTACTTCAAAATCCTTTACTAGCTTTTGCAAGTACAAGCCTTAAACTTATATAAGTTGTTGTGAATTAAAATATGGCTACATACCTCTCCAGCAAAGAAGACTTTGTTATTTACAGACTCTGCTATGATCTCATAGGCTTCACCACTTGCACCAATTCCTATGTAGCTATAGGCCATCAAAGCATGAGGGTTTTTGTGCCAATGGGTTACAAATGAATTTGATGGATCTGGCACATCCTAAAAAACGGAAAAAAAAGAAGAAAGAAAGTTGATTTATCATATATACATATATTAGTATTAATCATAAGAAGGATTTTAGGCCGTATTAGGAAAATTCAATGAAGATGGGATAGTAATACACACACAGTTTAGCCAACTGAGCTGAGCTGTTTTCTCATCGATGAATGTGTATTACCCATAGTAGAATGACAAGGAAACTGAGATTGCAGACCAAGAAGACATTAGAAGGACCAATTTCACCAAGTTGTTGGTGGAAATCGGGTGTGTCGCCCAGAATAGATACAGATGGAATAATTTAAGAACACTGGCCAGCTGTGGCCAGAATGAATGATGATAGTAATATGCTGATGATGATGATGATTATATTCATTATTAAACTATATGTAAAAAAAATGTTAACAAAATATAATGTGTCACTTTAATAAGCCTTACGAAAACAAATATAATGGCAAGAAAAATAAGTTATGCTCACCTCATCTGGAAACATACTCCTTAAACATTTCATGCATTCTTCTATAACCTCTTTATCGGTTTTTGATTGGACAAACTGTACAGCTTCCCCGCTCACTACTGTCATCAAGACATGCTCATTTTCATAGCTCCTCTGTAAGTAAAAGAACGCAAATTTATCTAAGATTAATCAACCAATTAACTAGAAGATCAATACTTGACCAATCAGATGAAAGATCAATAATTGAGCAATCAGAGAAAAGATCAATAACTGACCAATCAGATGCAAGATCAATAATTGAGCAATCACTGAAAAGATCAAAAACTGACCTTCAGATTTAAGCAATAAGATTATAAACGATCTCTGTACGAACAACAATGTTTTGGCCATATCATGTTTCTACACCACCTGAGTTAACTACTAAAAAATTTATATCACTTTTTCAAATTTGGCCTAGGATTCTTATAACTGTAATTTAATTAAAGATACGAAAACATAGCATCATATAATTATAAAACTTTATTAATTCAAAATTATTCATCAGGAACTTCAGTGACGTTAGTGCTTTGCTTTAAATTCCAATGTCATGGGTTTAAGTCCCTAACATGCATCACACACAATTGTCTTTGTAGGATCAAACAGCATCATACATTTTTTTTTTTCATTTCCTGCTTCAATTCACAGTCTTAACTATTTTGTGAATCAAATAATGGAAAGACTGAACCATCTGATAGTCATCTTGCACAGAGACATGCTCCCTTACTGCCTGCCAGACTCTTTATGTTCAAGTTTTGAGTAAAATAAAATTATGAAATTATGAAAACACTTACAGGTGGCGTCATATCGTAGAAGACAGAAAACATTCCCCGTTTATCAACTTCTGGTGGGATGTGACCAAAGTAATCGGTTGCAATAACTTTTTTGCTCCAAAAACGGCTTGGAAACTGAAGACCAATCTGAATTAAAAAACAAGATTGTACCAACAATTTTACTATGGTTCACATGGTTGAAAAATATTAGGAAAGACAAATGCGAGTCTGAAAAGACAAAAAACTTGTAAGTGGAGTATCCCAAGAGCAATTGGAGGTTAATCAACCTTTTCTGGGATCAGGCCTGTCTGAGATAGATTGGAAGCACAACACTGTACCCGTATGTTGAATTTACTGTTTTCTCATTCCTTGTTTGATTTAACATACCTCTTAATGATGCTAACATCACACACATTGTAAGTTTTGAAGGATAACATAAAGTATTATAGTATATGTATCTGTGTCTGTGTATGAATACTGCAGAGGGGCAAAATGAAAAGTTCAAGTCCTAGTCTTGTTCAGATGTTATAAAGAACCATGAATTCCAGATGATCATTTTTTATCAATAGGACGAAAGATAAACCATCTTGAATAGTCATTGTCAACCCTGTTGTAGGGTGACTAAAGCATTACCTTTTCAATTATACCAGCACCCAGACAATTAATAGCTGCCTGTTTCTTTGCTGGCAATGGTGGCTTGAAGGCAATCTTCTTTCGCTGGAGTATTGCTAATGGGACAGTTACAAGGACCTATAGACAAAAAGCAAAGAAATTATAGACTGGATATATATCACATTACTTAGGTACCAAAGTAGCAGTACATATATATACTGTCTCTTATTCACATCTGCAGAGTAATCCCTATATTGTACCTTTACAATATTTAACATACTGAGCTATTCAGCCATTTTTTAATGCAGAGAATAGCCTATTTACCTTTACTTTTGGAAGCTAGGATATTTTGTAGGCATATGTGACTTTAATTAAATATTTTAAGATCCATCTAAAAACCCAATGTTAAGCTTACCTTCTGTGCTTTGTACTCTTTACCATTTTTTGTTTGGACAATGACTTGCTTGCCTCTGTAATCGATAGATGTGACCTCTGTGTTGAGTCGGATATCCAAGCCGTCAGCCAGCTTATTCAGGACAGCCATGTAGCCATCTTCTATGAGGGTATGGTCACCAGCAAACTGAGCAAAGTTCTCATTTTGGTCCCAATGTAGAGACGAAACCTAAAATAAAATAATGTACCTTCTTTTAGGTAAGATCTGCAGGAGATCAATCATTAACCTGTGAAGAGATTTCAGGACATATGGTGGACTAATCTTGGTAAGTTTGTGTAGTTAAATCAAAGCATTTCATTCTCAGGACTCATGGTGAATATCTCACTCATTCAATCATTCATCTCAATCATTCATTTGTTTATTCATCCATCTATCCATCTATCAATTCATTAATCCATCCATCTTTGCATCCATCCATTCATTTATCATTTTCTGACATTCCAAAGGAAAGAAGCTGTAGTAAATGTGTTTATACTCTTTTTTACATTGTTTACAAAGTGCTAAACTCGCCAGTAATTTGAAGACTTCCTATCATAATTCATAAATTTCTACAAAGACAATTTCCTTAACACAGCAATCAAATTTTATCAGGTACAAAATTATGCAAATGAAGATAAAGTATTTTAGAGTCAAGTCAACAATGTGACTAATATGAGATCAGAACACGCATTCCCGAGAATCTCTAAAACATAAGTGTCGCATGTTTCTTTACCTTTGAAAGATCACATCCGCAAGCGTACTCCAGATTGCTGATGTGAAACTGGAAAAGACGCTCCTCCTTCGCTGAAAATTTCAAACTGGTCTCTTCAACAAATGTTTCATGCATTTCCTGTAACTTTTCTACAAACAAAATTAATAAATCCACCTTAAAAGCTGACCTTATAAATTAATGTTATACATTAAAAATAATGATTCTACACACAACAGTGGTTAATGTTTTGGCATTAATATAGAGCATACTATATGCTCTCTATACACATAACATCTATCAATATCATTCCTGACATTATAAAAACAAAATGGGATGACCCCTCAGGCAATTTCTAAATGTCAATTTATATATGATGGTGTGATCATAATTCATAAAGTGTGTAAAATGATGTCCTTTGTATAACTATATAATTAACTAGATCCTGTCTATATTTATATTCTAATGATGTTTAGATTTTGTGAATGTGTTAGAACTTTGGAAGACAAACTATCACATTTACCCATGGCAATAAAGAGGAGCATGGAACTCGATAAGTAGTTTAGAAAAAAAACAAGAAAGACATTAATGCATTCATTCGAAGATGTTTTCTCTTACTAGCTAATGACAAATCATCCAATTGGTTTTCATTGTCCCTCTTCCACTCGGCAATTGCATCAAGCATCGCATTAAAGTGAAAGTCAACTCTTTTGTCAATGGTTATGTCAGTAACGGATCCATCTTCTTCAACTAGATCACATCGTATATGCATCTTCCGCATTTTAATACCAGCCTGAGGAAACAAAAACTCATGAGGGAGTATAAAAAGTAAATTTGCTATAGAAAATCCACTCCTAGTAATCAGCTACTTGGAAAAAGTGAATGATTCAGTTTTATTTTAGCAGACTGGTAATGCTTTCATGTAATAAACAAGAAGAACTACAGTGCAGAAGCATACTGTACCCATCAAATTTAAGGCCATTATTACCACTCTACTTCTTTACCAGCTGTGTATTACTTGTTTACTTTTAGCCCCTCAAAATCTTATTTAGCAGAGCTATGTTGCCTTACAGGGAAATGAGGTTAAGCAAAAGTTGTCATATTGTTCAAAAGTGAAAAACTTCAGTGGGTGAGCAGTCCATGCTTCCTCAAGCCTAGCCTCAAATACATTCACATTACCAGAAGATACTACATGATCCAGAAGACCATTCCATAAAAGCACCACCCGAAATGAGAAGGAATTTGCTCTAAAATTAATCCTAGGACGATGAAATTTATGTTTGAACTTATGTCCATGAATATATGCGAGTCATAATATTGCTATCTACACATCAGCCTTCCCAAAAAGTAAACTGTTTTCCACAAAATAGTTTGTGTATCTATAACTTTATAAATATAAAGTAAAACACAAAATGGTGAAAAGGGATCTCTGTGTACCAATCATATTATAAAATAAAACAGTCACTCCATAGTGTGCATACCTCTACCCTGTGCTATGTATGATAAGTATAACTGCAGCATACCATCAAGAAAATAATAAAATCGCTTTTCTTTCAAAAACTGAATGGTGTCTTTCTTTGAATATCATGTACCACTCCACTAAATTTGAATATGATTCATTCAGTAGTTTTTGCGTAATCTTGCTAACAGGCAGACACCACGACAGACAACAGTGAATACATAACCACTGTGACGGAGGTAATAATGTTACCTGTTCACACATTAATGCTATGGGATTATTGATACAGCCATTCACAATCTGAGCTCCTTTTCCAACACACACTCCTAAATTTGTATCGTCCCAAACTCTGCCACCGATACGATCTTGAGCCTCTAATATTGTGACGTCCGCACCAAAGTTTTGCAGTTGTCGCCCAGCTGATAAACCAGAGGGCCCAGCACCAATAATTAACACAGACTCCTGGAAAGACAACCATACGCTGATGAAAAATAATTAATAATTATTATTAATTAATGACAATTAATAAATAATTATTAATTTATCAATAATAATAACATAAAAAGCCATATTGTACCATATCTGTGTATAAACTAAGTTGACCCAGACTATAAAGTCTGACCCTAAAAAAATATCAATTTAATTATCAATATTTTTGATGATAAAGTAATTTGTACATTGAAGTAACTTGTACATTCCCCTGATAAAGAAAACTAATGTGTGGTCTAAACCTTTTTTGTCAATAAAATTTGTTAGTCTGTATTGTGCTGTTTGTGTTCAATTTACTGTTCAATATTTTTATACAAGTCAACTCATACAATGACTTTTTTCATAAAAAATTGCAATCCCTTGGAAAAGGGTGCACTATATTCCTATAATATCATTATTATTATCATTTACATTACTAAAAAAAACTCACTAGTTTGACAGCATTTTCAACAATCTCCTTAATTGCGGAATTTGTGTCTTTTAGAAGTCCTGTGTTCACCAGTCCTTTAATAGTCAGGAATGCTAGTATTACTTTAAGATATCGGACACAGGCTACACGTACAAGGCCACGCACAATTAAATGTGCAACACACTTTTCAACTGTAAGTACTTCCTGTATAAATAAGATAAGATGGGTAAATATGAATATATTTATAAACAAATTTGAAAAAAAAATATACATAAATTTATAGTTAATACATAAACAAATACATACCATATTTTTTTTGAATAAATGTCCCAGGGCATATTGTTGAGAAGGATTTTTGAGAAGGAATTTGATCAAGAGAGGCAATTATTCGAGGGAGGCGTTTATTTTTTTTTGGTGTAAAATAGACACACATAAGCTTAAATAAATGGCTGCTAATTTCACTGTAAATATGGAACTACATCACATAATTACCATCAGAATGTGTTATTGCGTGACCATAAAGACTTATTGATCGCAACCAGGTTAGACTTGTTTACAGTCATAATTAGGTAAGTAATTTATTACACTTTTTACTGATTTTATGTGTTTTATATGTATATATATAATGATTCAGAGCCTCATATTCCAAATGAGGCTCTGAAGGGGGTGTCTATTTGAGGGGGGGCGTTTATTCAAATAAATACGGTAAATAATTATTTTTAATTGAAAAAACAGTATCAAATAAAAACAAAAATATTTTGATATTTTTCCCACCTTATAGTTTGTATTCCACAAGGCTAATGCAAGGTTTCTCAAGGCAAGGTACATTTGTTGTTCTCGAGCAAATTCAGGAAATTCCTGTACTTCGTCATATTCCATAACATCTGGACGAACACACAAGGCTTTTCCATTCTCTTCTGGTTGGTAGAACGGTTGAAAGTAAGGATGTAAACCTATCGGAACATAAATTTTGGTTCAACATATTTAGACAACGTTCCTATTAAAATTATCAAAAACTCAATTTATTGATAATATTTATTGAAAGAAACATACCATCTATGTGATCATCTGGTAGTCCTGAAAAACAAATAATGAATGTGTGTAAATATATAAAATAAACATAATTTGGTTATATTTAGGGAGACAAAGAAGTATATATTTCAGAAATAATTAACATAAAATATGAGTACCGTATATACTTGTGTAAAAGGAGACCTGACCCGCGTATAAGACAACCTAAAATTTGCGAAGATTTTTGGACGATTTTTGTATGTTGGGTGTGTAAGACGACGACCACTCCTCCCCCCTCCCGTTCCACCTTCAGAATTCATACTTTTTGCTGCCTTTTATGGTGTTGATACTGCATCTAGTTGGCTAAAAACAGAGCCAAATGCAGGGCTAATCTTTCCAATAAGGTCTACCTCTAATTAAAGACCCCTCCAATTAAAGATACCAAATTTACAAATGTCTTTATTATTCTAATTAGAGACCAAAGCTGCTAAAGACCATGGAAACCCTCGTCCCAAAAGTGGTCTCTAATTGGAGGGAGACCTGTAATAACATTTTATGGGATTTTAAATGTTCATCAAAAGCTTATTTCCACATATTTTAAAATTGTGTTCATTCATAAGCCTAAGTATAACATTATAGTAGCCTCTTTGCAGTAGTAAATTTGTGGACAAAAAATCTAAAATTTGTATGTAGTGCGTATAACACGACCCCCTGTTTTTCGGTCGCAATTTGCTATTTTAAGCCTTGTCTTATATGCGAGTATATACGGTATTATTTGAATATAAATATTTTTTAAGGAACTATATCAACTATTAAATTTACCTCCTCTGACTCCCATCGTTGCGACTTTGCATGTTGCACTAAGACCAACTCCGTCAGGATAGTATTCTTGAAGGTATGGAGCGGCCGGAGAGTTCTTCAGCAATGGAGGGTTCATTAGAAGTGACAACCAGTTGTCAGCATTAGTCTCTTCAACCCGATGGTCCTCCATCTCTTTACAGGCATCATTATTTATTGGCTGCCAATAAAGACATTTGACAATAAAGCTTGGCAATAAACAGTAATATTGGTTAAAAATACAGTAACACCAGAGATAACTTTTCATGAGTATGTAACAACAATGAAAGAAGAGCTTACTGAGTTACTATAAGTAACTTGTACATCACACATTTTACATTGAAAATGCACCTCAACATGTCAAAAACAGGACCAATGGAGAGTGCACCCTATAATTCGAGATCCCTCTAATTCCGATAGCTCTCTAATTCGAGACAACTTTTTCAATGAACCAAATAACAATCTTCAAACTTTTAGCACAAAATTAACCCTCTAATTAATAATGATAATAATTTACATTTATATAGCGCATATTGCAAAATACTACCCAAAATTTTCAGGTCCCAAAGGTGGTCTCTCAAATTGGAGGGTGACCTGTATCTTAAACCAACCTGTGTACCATCTTGCATCATACCACAGCAGTATTTCTGAATGAAATCTGTAGTGAGTTGCACATCATTTGGCAATATTCGCCATTTCCTGCAATCTGTCATTGTACACTGGACCCAGTATGGCATCACAGCATCCACCATGTAAGTCTTGAGATTAGCCTCTGTTTTTCCATATGAGCTCCATTCTCTTTTCCACAGAGCCATCCTATGATAGCCATCCCTATGACTAAAAAAAAACAAACAAAAATTACAAAATGTAAACATTTCACATATTGATAATGAACAAACAGTGCATAATTACAAATGGAAAGTGTTGTTAAATTTATAGTTAAAGTAGCTTAGCTCGTCGGGTATACTGGTGGTAGCCAATGTGTGTGTACTTAACCGTGGACATCTCTTACCCGGTTCAATTCCCATCGTTACTCTCCTTGTATTCCAGCTAGAGGGCTGAAATGCAAGGTACGATAGCCCACCATCTTTCCGATGAGAGGTTTAAGCCGTTGGTCCTATGTGCATTATGGCCCATGTGCACATTAAAGGGCACAGTACACTCTTCGGAAAAGAGTAGGGGATTGTCTCCCAGTGAACTGCCCAATCACCACCAGATGGACCTCACTGGAATTGATTCTTCTTCAGAATTGTGTTGTTTATCCTTGGTGTTCACACTGAATAAATCCATCTATCCATCTACATTATATAATATACGAAATTTTGACAAAATATTCTAAATTGTTATTTGCCTCGGGAAAGCAGATACATTTGTTGTGCATAGTAGATACGACGATACATGTGCATGTTAGATGAACAAAAGCATCAACAATACTTAAGTGGCGCATGGTATGTGAACTAAAGCCTAAACCATATAACCTGTGGTACCTGGGTAAACTGAAACCACAACCCCGATGTCTACACTGCTTGGTAGGTGAACCAAAATCCAAACCACGTAACTGCAGTGCATTATAAGTGACCACTGGCTCGGTTATTTACATGAGTAGGAAAAAAGTAAAGTTTGACAATCTCTAAAACAACAATACTGTACATACATTACCTTCTATAGTAGAAATCAAAACATTCATTACAGAAATGTTCTCCGGCAGACAAATGATACCATCGTGAAGTGTACCCATCACCCGCACATCTTTAAAAACAAAATAAGAAAATACATTTCCAATTAAAACTTAAAATTTTCATTCATAGTAAAATAAACTTGCATTTAGTTATCTTTGTCCTAATTTTTATAATAATTTACCAATTGAGCTCCGGGACTGCAAAATAGAAAATACATTTAAACTTAAGTTAAAACGATATATTTTAAACTCTTAGCCGTTGTTTATTGCAGTTTTATTGAGCTATTCTTATTATTACATTGTTTGATTTTTATTCTATATTATACTATATTATATTATATTATATTATATTAGGCATAAATTAATCCTCTATTTTGAATTTTCTTTATGTAAGTCAATTTAATACTTTTAAGAGTTGTTATGAGGATTGTATGTTATTATTATTATTATTATTATTATTATTATTATTATTATTATTATTATTATGTTGTAATGATGTTGTTTGTACTGTTCTTTGATTTTATTAAAGAGGGCCCCTGAATATCAGTTAACCTACTGGGCTAAACTGGAAGGGTTAGCCTCTTTAAAGATGGTTGAAATAAAAAAAAAAAAATATGTAAATCATGAAAACTGATCATTTTAATGAAAGTTGATATCTATGCGATTCTTTTAAATTAGCAATTCAAAGCTTTACTTTAATTGCTTATTATCAGCATTTAAACTGGTTTATGTGTTCGTTATCTTGAGAAATATATTTTCTTTCTCCAATTTTGAAAAGACTACTACTGTAACTACTGTATATAATACTTCAAGATGTTTAATTCAAATGTTGAATTTTATTGTTCAATTTATTGCCCCCAATACAAACAGTATATTTTTTTAATCACCATTAGTAAATATAAAAATACTTCTCAATTTGAATTAGTCATACATTTTGCTTAGTTGGAATTCTATTTTGTTCTCTTACCTTTCAGATCTTGCAAAACAGATAGGTCGCTTAGCTGGACAACGCGATTTTTCACAGCTTCTGAATGAGCGTTTTCCACCTGCTTCATTGTGGCCACCTGGAGTGGCCTTATGTTTCCCTTTCAGTGATGATGGAGGAGAGGTATGTTGTTCATCATCAGCTCCTTTGATGCTTTTCCTTCTCCTTCCAGACATTCTGAGCTTGTGCGCAAACTATTACAAAGAAACATAGGCCTAGACAAATTTAGGCTGCCTAAGGTAGCAATTAAAACGAAAATGACTAAGTACAAACTACAATGCCAAATCATGCATGTCTACAGCAGATTTCTTACTGTAACTTGGTAAAACGCATTTGAGTAACTACCTCTGAAAATTTAGAAGAAAATAGAAAATTTCTACAATTTGTATTAATGCAGTTACGATTCTGCACATTTATATTGTTTGCATTATCTAAATCATGTTTTACTTTGAATATCAATGCACCAGCAAACAACCCAAGGGTGATGTTATAAAAACAAAATAAAAATTTAAAAAAAAGCCTCCCTCCCTCATTACTTTTCCTGCCCAGATAGGGTGATAAACTAATAATATTTTTTATAGGGCTTAATTTGTATTTTCAGGGAGGAGGTATGAAAATAATTTTTATGTGTAAGACCAAAATGTCCTCCACAATTTGTTATTACTTTTTTAACATAATGTTGTTTATATGTATTGGGTGAATAAAGAATGAATGAATGAACATTTATTATTTAGAAACCTGGCCTAGGAAAAGAGGCCCACCTAGGCCTAGCTTTGTTTGGCCTAAACATTCAGTATAGGCCTAGGCGTAGGCCTATTATATTTATTGTTTTTAGTCCTTAAAAATGAATCAAATTGATTGGAAATGTGCTCCATCATACAACGCCCGCAACAGTCCTACACCCGTCTCTCTTAACTTACCTAGCTTAAGCTCATCATAGTCCAGTACTGTGAAGGATCATCTGTCACCCAAGGACAAGGCTAGGCCTAGGCCTATGCCTAGCTAGACTTAGAAGAGCTATGATTGCCCTCCTCCTCCTATTCCAACTATCGAATAGGCCTAGGTAGGCTAGGCCTAGCCATAGTAGGTTGGCTAGGCCTAGCGATTTCCTATGCATCTACTTGCACTTTCTACTCAACTGAAAGCATACATTTGTGTTTACCTTACCTTGAATCTATGTTTTTTCAATCATTCACAGAAAAACCGTGTGAAATTAGCGCATACTCTTCACGAAGCGAGAGCAAAAAATAATAGAACAATGCGCTTGAGCTAGATCATTGGATTTAGAACGAGGGTTACTACTTTTCAACCCTAACTGTATTGTTGGCGGTCGTTTTAACACTATTGGTTTTATTGTCGCTTAATAGTAATCGTTTGCGCATGTGGTATTTACAGTAACGCTACAATCATAATAACATCATGAAATCATAAAAAAAAAACAGCAGCCGCGAAGCCACCGGACACGTAAGCTGCAAAACGTCAACATGAACTAACATTTTATATAAACTGCTTTCGATTCAATATTTCTTAACAGTATATTAAGGTATATTAGTTTTCGTACACATTTTGTATTCTCTTACATATAATACATCGTTCGTTTGTGCAATTAAGGGACATACATAGGTAGGCCTAGTAGTACTAGGCGGCCCCCTAGCCTAGTCCGTCTGATTTGTGTTCATTGAAGCCCACATAATGAATGATACAAACAGGGCCTAGCCTAGCTTATCAGGAGGCATTATATTAGCTACATACAGCAATAGGCTAGCCAATTTTTCTTCAACGTGATAGCGAACTTCTGTTTGCTATGAATAGGTGTGTAATTCATGTTGTGTTTTTAGAATACACGTATATTGATTATCAAATTCAAAGAAAGGAAATTGGTTTGATAAATGATATTTGAACTCCCAATGAAGAAACATAGTGATTTATTTCTAAAATCTTTTATGAAATATTTGTATATTTTCATTCATGTTTAAATGGTATATACATTAATTTTAGCGCGCGTATTCATAACACTGTTCTGATTTGTCAGTTGTTAAGTTTGATTGACACGGCGGAAAGGTCTATTGCCTCGTGTTGTGTAGTATGATACTAGGGAGCTTTCGATTGCACGACGACGGTAGGACATAATGACGTCACTAAAAGTCATCTGCACATGTGAGAACATTAAGGTCACCTTATTTTTTTATTTATTTCTATATTTTATTTCAACAATATTTTACGAGGGTGGTCCATCCAGCCGGAGCTGATCATTAGGGAGCCTCAATACATAACACAAGTAACAAAGGAAATATAAATAGATTAACAAAGAAATTAAAATGATATAAAACTAATAAAAACTAAATTACAATGGAAAAGAAATTAACTACAATATATGTACATATTATATAAATAAAATTTTAAATAAAATCAAATTTTGATTTATTGCTGTTAGTTTCATTGAGCTGTTTTTACCAGCATTCATGAAAAGAGTTATTAAAATGAGATAATGTCTTTTTATCTTTTCAGGTGTTATATTTATTATTAAATAATAAATATGTTAGAATCTTATGTATCACCCTATCTCTTGGGTTACATCAATAAATACATAAAAAATCTGAAGCCAGAAGACCTCCAGTTGTCACTATGGGGAGGCGACCTGGTACTCAACCACTTGGATCTCCGACTGGAAACCCTTGAGCGAGAGCTAAATCTTCCTTTGGCATTCGTCAGTGGACATATCCATGAGCTTCGCATTCACGTCCCTTGGTCTCGTCTTGGTTCAGAGCCAGTGGTCGTTACTATCAACACAATTGATCTGAGTTTGAAATTGCGAGATTCAGAATCCGCAGACCATGACAGTGACAGCTCCAGCAGTACGTCCTCAAAAACATCCAAGGCAGTTTCAGAAATCAAATCACCAAAACGGCAAACGCACAACGATGAGGAAATGCCACCAGGGTACGTACAGTCACTGATGAATCGCATCATCAATAATGTTTCGATCGTTGTAAACAACTTAATATTAAAGTACACAGAAGGTGACATGGTGTTATCTATCAATATACAATCATTAGAATCATTTTCTGCCAATCAAAACTGGGAACAGCAGTTCATTGACCTAGCACTACCGGATTTGGTGTTGCGTAGAATAATTGAAGTGTCTGATTTGACTGTGTGTCTTGATAAACGAAACGCGAGCGGAAAGATTGAGAACTACCAAGAACCAGTTGTATATCGCTGTCAGTTGGATATACGCATTCTATCAACGTATGGTCATTTGAACTCAAAGCGTGCATCTGCAATCAAGTTGAGCTTGCATTGCAACGAGTTAAATATGTCATTGAGCGATCAACAACTTCCTATGTTTATTCGGGTTGTGCAGTTGGTGCTGGCGCTTTATTACGGTGAAATTGATCTTCCTGGAAAAGAGGATAATGATGATGGATCAACCAAAAACGATGAGAAAGTCAATCCTTCAGATGCAATTACTGATGGAAGTTAGTATGTGTTTTTGTCTCTAAAGCCCCTTTCAGATAGACGTTGCCGCAATATTGCGGTAAGCATGTCGGCATTATAACCGGTCTATGCCCTTTCACACAGCGCCTTTGTTAATCTTGCACTTTTCTGTCAGAAAGGGTACTATAGAATGGCGTAATATTGGAGGTTTAAATACCACCGTGCAATTATTTTAAACTTTAACCTTGTTTGTTTATGCATAAATGCACACGCTGGCTTGATTGCCGCAATATCAAGTAGACCCTTTCAGACAGAGCAAGGCAGTAACCGTTACCGCAATATTACAGCAATATTACTGGGGTGCGAGTTGGTCTTAAGTAAGCCGGCATATTGGCGTATGGAACCTTTCAGACAGAAACCCATGCCGGCGTGCTTACCGCAATATTGCAGTATTTCAGCTCTGTCTGAAAGAGGCTTTACGTCTAAAAGTCTGACATTTAGAAAAATTTGGTTTTTATAATGTCTATGCAGAGATTATATCTGACTTAAGTGTCAAAAAATCCAGGTTGCATTCCTCCCATCTCAGTAGTAAAATGAATGCACTTTACAATTTATTCTACTAGCATAAATTAATGCTTATTTCTAGGGTTAAGTTTGGTCTGAACATAACATCTTGCTACCAAAATTACATTTATTGTACCTTGATATCATTGGTAAATCTTCACTTTTATAATCTTAATATACAAATTGTAACATTGACACTACTTTGTGTATCATACTGCAGAGATGAGAAGAGAATAGAATGCATATTTAAAAAAAAAAATTACCATTAATATTTTTATTTTATCCTCTTCTCGTGTTTATTTTATACATATCATCATTCTAAGAGGGTCAATTTCCCAATTTAGAAATATTTTTATCAATTAATAATAATTTTATATATCTGAATTACATTACATACAGTATTTTTAACAAAATGATTTTTTAAAGCTGGCATAGACCTGTGGACAATTCTATTCCTAATCAATTGTATCATAATTTTCTGTAATTTTTCTGTAACTTGTATTGCCAGAGGAAAACAAATTTCCAGTTGCTTTACTGGACAATAAAGGATTATCTAAATATTTGCCTGTAGATGCAGTATCTTCAGAATTTGGTCCCGAGGAGCATCCGCCTGGGTGGATGGCATGGGCTTGGTCATACGTTCCAGAACTTATATCATATGAGGATGACGAAGATCCTGATAATGAAGGCACAACAAACAGAAAACCTCCTACTACTACACTCTCAATAGGCATGTATTGCTCCACTGCATCCATTACATTCAAGGTAGCCCTATTATTATTTTTATTATGATTATTATTAGGAATTTTTAAATCCAGGCTCTGATGGAAAAACATGTTTTGTTGTACAACTTTCCCCCGGAGCTTGGCTTTAAAACGTACATTTTTATCATTATCAGTTTTTTTATTAATATTATTGTATGCTTCTATCATTACTTGTCATTTAATAGTGTTAAAAGTCTATAAGAAACTTTGATGTTTTTGTTGTGCCTTTGTTTGTAACTGGAGCGTCCTCTCCAGAAAGAGCCTGAACATTTCTATGAACATTTATTTTTTCACAAATATAAACATCTCTGCTCCCAAAACCACATCATGAGACTTAATATAGTTCATAGTACATTTCGTGGTTTATTTCCGTATTGTAATTATCAAGTTATGTGGCTGTTGAATGACAATATAATTTTTTAAATTAAAACATTAGTACTATTTTATTTTTTAGATGACTGAATTCATAGCCAATAGATCCTTCTATGGGCCTCCAAAGCCGACCTTTAAACCCTACCTAAGGTTACATTTGAATGGTGCCACTCTTGAAGTACTTCTGCATGGTCTGACCTTCTTCAATGTTCAAATAGCGTTTAGTGAGATTCAGTTGAACGGCATTGGAAACTGTACCTGTGGAACTGATGAGGCTTTTGAAGATTATCTAGACTCGCACAGTATTAAACCACAGGTGAGTTGAGTCATTTTGTTACGCGATCAACACAGGTGTTGTTTTCAGCGATTGGTTAAACATACCAGATTGATCATGATACGGATTACTTTGCTGCATATGTGTGATCTTTTTTGAAATCATGCCGATGAATGCTTCACAGTTGAATCGTCTAGAGTTCATGACTACGTTGAATATAGATGATAAATGTATAAAATTCTAATATTCTTTAAACTAAGAAATTTATGTATACATTACCAAAGAAATGCTTTTGCAAACAACCAATAAATACTTTGATTTAGTCCCCACTTGTTTTACATAGATTTTATTTAAATCAATGTTTGCTTTTATTTAAATTTGCCAATGTTCCTTGTTTTATAATATTGTTGCAAAAGCTATGAAAAGAACGACAAGTAATAATACTAATAATAATCCTTTTTATATAAAATGTTATTAAAAAATTTTTTTTTTACATTTCACTTTGAATCATTTTTTTTATGTGCTAGGCTCATTTTATGAGCATCGGTGACAAAGACTATGAAGCCAAGTTGCCTAACTACAAGTACAACTCACTGTTTGATCCAATGAGTGCTGAAAACAACTCATCAAGAACTCTATACATACTGGACACTGAACACCACAATCAAAAGTATACAGAAAACTGGGCCCAGACACGGTGGGGTGCCTTCTGGATTGACTACTTGTACACCATGGAAGAGCCTAGTGAACCGCAATTAGAGGGTACATTTAATATTGCATTTTTTTTATCTTTGTTTTTTTTTTACTTGTTTTTTCACTTTAATGCTGTCTTTGTAATGATATAATTTGGAGTAGATTCTGGCCATTCTCTCATGTTCAATTTTAAAGCATTGAATTGCATGTTTTTAATGAATCAAATATGCTACCAAATTCTACAAGATACAAGATAAAATGTATTGTCTTCAGTAAAAACAAAGAAATTACAAAGCTCACAAACAAAACGACATTCAAATAAAAAAATAATATTTACATCAAATTTCCATAAATCCATTTACAAAAAGCACATACAGTAACAATAATTTAAATTATAAAGTTTTACAAAAGATAATGATGAATGTTTAAAAAAGAACTTTAAAAACTGATCAAAACAACTAAGTTTCTGCTGATTGATCAAGTTCTGAAATGATGTGTATTATTAACAAAAAGTGTTTTCTTTTTTTCTTCATTAGCATCAGAAAACTCAAGTCAACATTCTCATCAAAGCACCACAGTGGATCCTATCTTTGAATTCAAAGAAGTTTCCAATCAGCGCATTGTGTTCTTTGCTGGTGATGTTCATGTGAATAGTAGCATGGTTCATCGTGTGCAGAAGGCAATCACTTATGCCAATGACCATGATTATGAACCTTACAGCAAAGCTAAACCAGGTAACGATAATTCCTAACAGGGTTGGTAACATGTACAATTTTAACCCCCTCAGAAATGTGGTGGCCCCCAGCATAATAGGTGTTCCTGATGCTGTTCATGCATTTTCTATTGAATTATAAAAGACTAATCTTTTAAATTGTTATGTATTACAGTATTGATATTTATAATTTGTGTTTGAAATGTATATTTGTGTTTTGATATGAGCAATTGCGCTCGTTACAAGTTTCCGTGAAGACAAATAAATTCTGAATCTGAGTTTTTATTTGATATTTTATTAAATTTATAAATTTTTCTTTGAGCATCTCCTAAGTTCAATTTAATTCAAAGTAGAATGGGAAATAGCCTGCCCATTTCTGAACATTTGGAAGTGAGGTGAAAGGTCAACACATGCAGGCTCAATATAGGAAACTGGCCAGACATACACCAACACAAACATACAAATTTAATAAAATAATACACTAAATTAAATTAATCTAACTGCTGTATGATTATGCTGTAAGCTACTCCACTGTATTCTAAAACAAGCCAAACATATTGAATGGATGAAAATATATAGGAATGTTTCTTCTAATAATTAGCCCATTTTGTAAATACATACTTCTCTGCTTATTTTGTTACAGAAATAGTTGATGTGTCACGTCCTGTCCCAACATCTGATCAGATTGAACAATTAGAAGACTTCGTGCCAAGCCGTAGTACACATTTCACCGTCCTGGGACTCAATTTGACTGTCAGTGCAGCAGAGCACTCGCAGTATGATGAAAAGCAGTCGACCCTATATCCTGAGAAACTGGTAATGCATTGCAACATACATATCCTTCATTCTAAAAATAACAACCATTTTAAAATCTTTGAATCTGATTAGGCTTCAAACTGATTAGGTCAATCAATGTGTGCCTAGAATTTAGAAAATTTAAGGCCAGACTCAGCAGGAAAAAATGTTTCATATGTTGTACAACAAATTTTCTAAGACACTGATGGTGTTTGAAGAATGGCTAATGTGATATAGATTTTTGAATATTTATAAACTGCGGGGAGGGTTGTGGGAAAGGAGTTTTTCGAAAGTATACAATACACTGTTATCATTTGCCCATACTGTAATGGGGAAAAAAAGGTGTTCAACACCACTGTCAATGTATCATTGAATATCATTTCATCTCTTATGCAAAAAACCTTTTTTATTCCAGTCTTATTAGTGCAAAAATGTTTGAATCATCTATGCAATTTACATTTTCATTTCTCTTTATAACCACCTGCAATTAGGCCATTCCACCATCAAATTTTTTTATGTCTGTTCTAGTTTTGATAATGTCACAGAATTATGTTCATTTGTGTACTTAACAGGATTTGAAAGATGATGATTTTGCAAGCAAGACTGTCTTACTGCCTGCCCTAGCTGTTCAGGTTGACAGGTTAGATGTCCAGTCCACACTACCAATGTACAGCCGAAAGTTGATCAAGGCTATCAGTAAAGTTCAACGACCTTCTGATAACCTCCTTCATGGTTGCTATTCCCATAACTATTACAAGGTAAATCTATTTATGAAAGTCAGTCATATATCCAGGTTGCTGGTGCTACCCCTCAAAAGCACCTTACAGGTACATGCACCACCCCAACCCAACCCAAGTTATATATCATTGGATATTGGGGGTATCTTTTTATTCTGTCTGTTTTTGTCATACATTTATCATTTTGAATTATTTATTTTTACTACAGTTGTTTGGTGTTCAAGTTGGATTAACTCAAGTTGATTACACTGAGACAAGCAATCCCATAATTCTCAACTTATTGCCATCATTCAGTGTTGCTGCCTATCATAGGAAATTACTTCTGCCAATGTACTGGTGTGTATTGTGGCTTTACATATGAGGCTTACCATTTCAATACCAGCATCATGAACCAGAAAATGAAAATTGACTTTAATAATTCTTATTCTCCACATTAAAAGCTTAAAAATGGTCGTAGTTAACTTAAAATTGACAAAGTTGTGAATAAAATTATTACGGCTTCTGTGTATTAAGGTACACACCGCCTCATTCTTATGCTTATTACTCAGTTTAACAATTAATGAAAGTACGCTGGTTTTGGGAAGGTAAACCTCATATTATCCTTATAATTTGCCTTTTGAGCCATTTTAATTGTAGTGTTTGCTTGTTCCTTGATGCTGGATGCAAGTGAAATGGTTAGAAATATGCCGGAGGGGAATCACCTTGCTACTTTTTAGTAAATAACATGCTTGATTTTTTTAAACCTGTAGGACAAATCCCAGAAACATTACTTCTGAGATGTTGGTGGAGTGTCCAAGTATTGCAGCCAATGCCACCAAGGCTCAACTGTTGCTGTTACAGGAGTTGTACAAGACTTGGACAGATGAAGTGCCAATGCTTGAGAGGTTCGAAGAAGTCTCTCTTCAGCAAGACATCTTTAAACCATCAGGTAAATAACTTCCAGATTAGGAAATCTCTGATTTTTAGTTTTAGTTCAATGTATCTGCGATAGAGACATGTTGCTTACATCCTAACAATCAGAAGGCATGTCTAAATTAGGTTGTGAGTATATTGACTGCAACACATAAACCAATGTGTATGATAAGTTCTTTATACATGATATAAATAATGAGCTTTGAAATTCCAGAAGCCACTACATATCATTGAGACATTATAATAAAGAGTAGCAAAGCTGGCTAAACTGGTAGTAGCCATTGTGTTAACCCTCAGCCAATGTAGCTGTTCTTGTCATTCAGCTGGTGTGAAAGCTGAAATTTATGTAACAATCATCTTTCAGACGCTAAAGCCATTTATGTACAAATAGGCCCATGTGGTTATTTATTAACAAACTCTTTACAGATAATTTAATGAAAGATAAGTAGGAGATTGTCTCAAGTGAACAAGTATATTACTGTCACTGTGCAATTAAGCACATTTCGGGAAAATGGTTGATCATGAGACATAAAAATATACAAGTTATAATTTTCTCTAATTTCTGTCTGTTTCTTTTATTAAATGACAGTGCAAGCCTTTCCATCTGGTCAACCTATGTTGGAATTTTCGTCATCAGACATTGAGATCAAGACCAGTGAGACAAGTCTAGTGAAAGCAATGTCAGGAACTTTAGGCAGTGCCAAGCTGCTGATTCAGTCATTAGGTTTGTAATGAAAAAAAGAAAATATGTTTGAATATATATTAGTCTAGGATGTACACCGGGATCAAAAATTATAAAAAAAGTATGATTAAATCGGGTTGGGCTGAGGGATTAGACTATTTCCTATGTAAAGATGTCATTTGAGGACATAATTCAAAGATACCTCCTTTTCCATGAATGAACAGACAAAACAAGAGATAAACCAGTTTTGTCGCAATACAAATTAATAATTTGGTTTATTTTACCAGAGAATGGAAAAGTGATATCAACACCGCTTTTTCAAGCACCTGTGGATACTGCTAAAGTTCATACTGTTGAATACTATGAAAAAGAAGAAAAACCAAACATCCAACCTGGAGTGTACCAGCAAGATGTAGTGACATTCACTTGCCAAATACCAAAGGCAACAGAAAAGGCAACAGCACATGGTAAGGTTTCACTCATGTTATCCAAATGCAGGCTTTTCTTTGTAGTGTTAAACAATTCAAAAAGTAATAATTCTTTTCCAGGCCTAGTTTTTTTGAATATTGACCATCCTAGAGTCTTTATTGGATAGACTTATCTTCATAAGACTTCTATGAATGGATACCTTGTTCGAAGCAAGAAATTAAGTTGTCTTTACCCAGTACCGCTCATTTTTATTAATGGTGGGATTTTTTTCTTACAAATGTTCTTCGTAAAAGTTAAAAGAAAAATATTTCACCATATATTAGATGAAACCGGCCTGATTTTGATTGACATCCAAGGACTGGCCTTCTGTCTGGATCCACTTTTCTACCAGTGGCTCACTTACACACCTCGACCAGTTGGAGTTTGGAAATCTGGTGGAAGAGGTACTACTATGACACCCTCAAAATCTACACCTTTCCAGACAAAGGCTTCTATTAAAGGTATTGTGTATCATGAGGACATACTTAATACATGGAAAGTGTATACTTTATTGGGAATATCATAGATAAAGAATGATTTATCATAGACATCTAAAGTATTTCATGATCTGAAAAATGTACTTTATTGTATTAAAGAAAGAAGAAAAATGTGTGTACAGCTGCAGTGCTAGGGAAGAGGCTGCTAAGGTCCATGGCCCTCACTAGAAATAATCATCCACAAACTAACCCACCTCCTGCAAATAATGTATGCCTATTTTACTACTGTGTTGTTAATTGCTTAACTGAATTCAAATGACTGTGGGTACCAATACAAGGGGAAAATTTAAATGACATACACTATAATAATTGTGTTGTCTGTCAGACAGAGCAAATGATGTTTCACAAATATCTCTTCAAACAAATTCTATATCTTTTTGTTCTATTGGAATTTAGACAGTGTTGTACTTCAGCAGTGTTTTTAATATTGACAGGCAAACCTCTGATGGTGAAGTGTCAAACCTTTAAAATCCTGTGTAGGTATTATTTGCTCCAAATTAACACTTAAAAACAAATGTTAGTAACCATTGTCTGTCATCGGTCCATTTTTTAGGATCAGCTAATAACTCCAAAGCAAAAGATGAAACTACAAAGTTGAGTGGTACAAAACAACTCCCTAATCAGGATCAACACCCCAGTATGGATGGTAATAAGCAGGCTACTAAAGTTGATGATGCAAACGCTATGGTTCAAGAGTATTTGGCCAAATTGAAAAATTTTAGCATACAGGTAAGAGATCGACCTTATGTTTCTATTTAAATTGTTTATGTACTTTATGGACCTATACTCCATTTTATCAGGTCTATTTTGAAACAATGCCACCAATGTCTCTCAACTTTCCACTAAGGGACTTCCAGCCTTTTTTTTCAGACACATATCTTTGGGTACTTCTACAACCAAAAACACTGCAGGTTCTGTGCACCCCTATTTTTTGTTTTTTTGTTTTTTTTTGTTTTGGCATTTTGTTTAGCCTAGGTCTAGGGTAACTCACTACAACAAGACTATCATTCACCAGTCACAGCACAGATAAACACTAGTAACTATCAGCGTGAAATGCCTTGGCCTCTGGATGTCCCCATTGGTAGTGGCCAGGTTCTTGGAAATTTTCATTTCAAATTTAGCGAAAATGGTGTATAGATCCATGCTTAAAGTTAATATTGACAGATGTCTATTTTAGAAGAATAAATACTATCTGAAAAAAATTAATTTTTTTAATTATATATTATTGTTAATATTATTGGTATTAATATTATTTGTAAATACCAATCTAGTTTTTATTACCTTTCAGATTGATTTGGAGTGCTGTTCGATTTATCTACCAGCCACCCACATCCAGATACCAAAAAGTGCACCTCCAACTATCCCACTCCTGTTCAGACATTTAGCTCTGTCAGAAAATGACATGCCCCCCACTGCTGTCCTGTGTCTGCCTACTGTAACCATCAATAGCATTGGACATCGCAAAATTGCCGCCTTACAGGATATTCCAATCGACCAATCACTTCTGGTCAAAGAAACAGGTAGATGTTTTGTGTTACTACTATTCTCGCATAATATGTTGCTATACTACATAAATTATAACTTTTAGTGAACAGTATCTATAAAAATATTACATATTGCTATGCTATGCTAACAGACATGCTATCCCAAAACTAGTGTACTGTTGCTATATGTTAAACCATTGAGGTATTATAGTAAACGGTTAAACTGACTAATTAGCAAAAGAATGTGGCAGTATTGTATACTTTAGTACAGAGAAGCTGTAATAATTTTACTTCTAACTTTGGCAACAGTAAGTCAATTTCATTGAATGACCCACCATTTTAAAACTTAAAATGTGGAGAATAAGAATATATTAAAAAAAAGTCAATTTTTTGTTCACTGATGCTGGTTTTGGATGCAAGCCTCACATAAGAAAAAAAAATGTTAGTTATGAATGACAGTGTCAGGAACTGCTTCCATTGGGAATCTTAAATAACACAAGACAAACATATTCTCGCCATCTTACTGTCATTCACACACTATATTCCAGACAGTAAAACTTGCATGAATGTGAATTAAACTATAAAGAGTGGAGCTGTATCTTGGTGGTTAAGATACTTGCTTTGTACTTAAATATATATTTGTCTAATAACATAAAACTATTGATCTAGTCGTGTGTTTTAAAATTTTCTTTTTTTGTTGTCCATATACTTGGAAAGAAAAAACAATGCTGTTGCATTATTCAGGTCACCGAAAATAAATTAATAAGTAATAGAAATCTCAATATGCTTGCTGATTGCTATAGACATGTAATCTGACCTTGAATGTGAAAATGTTTCTGTAATCTTTAACTTGTAAACCGTATTTCTCACTTGTTTTAGGTCAGAAATTCCCATGGTCAATAGCAGCAAGTTCACTTAGCTTGTACACGCTTCACCCTATGTCCACCACTCTTTATCTACTTGAACCAATGACTGTCAACTCGACACTGGCCGTCACAAGTAGCGCAGGAGGACCGTCTGCTAAAAATGTACTTGGATTCTGCCTTCATTCGGATATGAAGACTGTTAAGGTCAACTGCTCAAAACCACAGGTAATGATTGAAGTCAGCTTTTTGTAAAAATATTATTATTTATTTAGTGCTTTCTGCATTTAAACACCTCAAAGCACTCCTTGTTTTGTGAGAAAATTAACGATTGTACACAACATAGAAATCAATCAATTTACCTTACAACACATTTATTTATATAGTATAAAATCTGGTTTATGTATTTACCACCTTCACAAAACTTGATGTCAGAAAATTGGAAGTTACCATATCCAAATTACCTACTGGAAGATTGATTAAAAGCTCTCATGATTTTCAACAGAATTTAGATGCTCTTCTCAATTTATGATTTTGATACAGAAACATAAATTTTTGGTGCAGAATCAAAAAATAATCAGATCATTCAACACAATTTTTCATAATTATTTACATATTTTTATTTCAGGTGTCCCTTCTTGCTAGTGTTTCATGTGCAGCTATTGAAGCTATACAACAAACAACATTGAAAGCCAGTAAGCAACGCAGGCACAAGAGCCGGAGCCAAAGTATGGACAGCAAACAAATGCCTCAACGTTCTCCCGTTAAGACCTTAAGCAGTGTGTCCTCTTCTGGACAGCCCGAGAAAGCACAGGGTCAGGAAGCCTCCACTAATCTCTCATCAACTATCGAGGTTTCTTCGACACCTGACAGTGAAGAGAATGAGGGCAGCACAAGTGGTCTGAGATTGTCACTATGGTTACAACTGACCCTAAATAAGTTCTCTCTCAATTTATTCTCTGAGGATTGTAATGGTAAAGCACAAGGTAGGTTTTGTATTATGTAAAAAAAATCAGTATAATGATTGTTTTATTCTGTATAAAATCCTGAAAACAATATTATTTCAGGGTGCCAGGTAACAAATTATGTGAATATAAATACAGATTTCCCTCCATTTAGAGACCACTTTGGTATCAGGGTTTCCATGGTCCTTAGCAGTTTTGGTCTCTTAGAATGATATAGGTTATAAAATAAATTTGTGAATTTGAGACCACAGAAAAGTGGTCTTTAGTGGAGTTGGTCTTTAATTGGAGGTGTCTTTAATTAGAAGGAAACCTGTATAATATATATATATATATATATATATATATATATATATATGTGTACATATATAATATAATGATAAATATATAATCTGTTTCATCTTTGTTTCTCCTAAAGAACTCAAGTTGCAGTCTGATTTAGAGGATCTGACATTTTCTCTGGACATTCAAGAAGTGTATTCAAAGATGAAGTGCAAGATTGGGGGTCTAAATGTAAAGCATTACATAAAATGGTAAAATTTATTTTTTTATAATCTTTTTCTATTTTGTGATGAAAAAAATTATACGAAGTTATTTTAATGAAGCCTGTCATATTATTTACAAGACAAAATATGATTGGATCAGAATTATTATGCTAATTATACTAGTTAATTATTTTAGTCATATTAATATTTAAATACTGTTATCATTACTATGTTTAACTATATGAAAATCTTTATTATAAATCTAAAGTAAAAGATGACAATCTGGCATTACAAATTGACAATATAGCCAGATTGTCATCTTTTAGTTTAGACACTCTTACGCTGAGGAAGGCAGCAGGCGCTGCCAAAAATTTTGTTTAATAAATGTATATGTCTCAAACTATGTCAAAGTGTCCGGCATTTATTTAAATAGCTGCAGTATTATTACTGTCTCTTATACACATCTAGACATATATATACACATATATATATACACATATATATACACATATATATATACATATATATATTACAACTATTTAATATATAAAATATTAATTATATTTATGTATAGGAATAAATCCTGGATTCCAGGTCCATACAAAGGTGTGATATTGTCATGCACTGACATGATCACCAAGCAACTACCACTCGTTAGCAGAATTGCATCTCAGAAATCCTCCGCATCTTATGGACTTCACGCTCAACGTTCACCTGCGAAGTCCCGCGATTCCAAGACTCACGGCTTTTTAACACTTACCTTTACACGTGCACTAAGCAAGTCAGTTAAAAAAAGACTTTATCGGTCAAAATTAAAAGTACAAGAGCCAATTGCAAAGATGAACCAATATGTAAATGAAGTTGTGTTGTCTACTCAACCATGTGATATTGTTGTGTGGTGTCCTGTATTAGCTTCTATGCTGAACATTTTTATGATCGATTTGTCTACAAGTTCACTTCGTCAGGGTGAATCCGGACAAATTCAGCCCTCACTGAAACGCCATGAAAGAGTGCGGCGTTCTTTACGAAGTCCACCCTCGGTAGCCAGCTCGATGACTGCCTCAGAAATAACCAGAACAAGTGCTAGTAAGAAGTCTGTGAATGAAGAAATAATCTCAACTAGAAAGCTTCCCCTATTGTACATTGATTGCCAAGAGTTTAGACTTTTCCTTCCAGGCAGTGATCCAAATAAACCCCATGCATTGTCAGGAGAGATCAGTCAAGATTGTTTCTTGGCACATGTGAAATCCATCTCCTTAACCCCTAATGTGGACAATCCACTGCAGAGAATGATTCTAAAGCAGGAAATATACAGGTAAGACATAATGCTCATTGATATACAGTAGGCCTTCAGAAAAAATGGCCAGAAAAAATGTGTTTCATGACTAGCTAAATGTAATTACCATACTATATTTATTCGAATAGACGCCCCGCTTTGAATAATTTCCCCTCTCGAATAAATGCCCCTTGGAGAGCCTCTCTTGAGTAAATGCTCCAAGGCATTTATTTTTTCCTCGATTAAAGGACCCTTAAATGACTTTAAACAAATTTAATAGAAGCAACATCATTCTCGACACATTCTATTTATGTTCTACTCCAGCAGAATTAAATTTCTTTCTAACCTGGTTGGGAACAATAAGTCCTTCTGATCACACAATAACACAATATGATTGTAATTATGTGTTGTAGTTATTCAAATAAATACAGAATTTATGCTTAACTCAGCTTTCTGTATCTTATATAATGTAGCTCACATTTTGTTACTTATAATGAGTGATAAAATTTGGTCATGGTAGAGTTAACCTTTATATTGATCAAAATCAAATTTAAATACAGTTTTAGTATAATCACTTACCAAGAAGTCAAGTCCACAAGGAAGTCTACATTGCCAAATTGTAAAATGTTGCTGTATTTCAATTCCTGGCGGAGGTGAACTTTTTCAATTGTTATTTGAATTTTCTGAACTTTTCAATTCAGAAAAGCTATGCATGCTGGGATAACACAACAGCCTGGGTCTGAGGTTGAAGACCGGCAGTATCAACTAGATATCAATGCAGTTAGCCTGTGTACTGTATTGTGGGAAGATGTGGCAATGGCTAGCGATCAAGGTGTTCAAGAGATTGGATCAGCCGATGACAGCAGCGTTACCTTGACGCAAAATCCCGCTTTGGAGTGGAACATGGCTAAAGCAAGGTAAAATCACATCAGCATTTTCTGTAATTATATGAGGCATGTTGTGGCAAAATTGCCAAGTTGTAGCAAAAATTGAAATTCAAGTATTTTCAGATACCTGAGTATGTGATCTTTAATATGAGAGGTCATTCATTGATTGATAAGCATAAGTTATTGGAAAGTGAAGGTGCAGCACTCTTACAGTCAATATAAACGTGATTTTGAGTAATTGCCTTCCAAAATTTATTTGTGCATACATTGTTTAATAGAATTGACTATCAAAATAACGTTAAATGAATAATTTGTTGACGACTTCCAGTACTAATACTTTGGGACATGATTAATAAGACAATAAACTGTTGATATATAATGAAAAAAACCATTTTGGAATTTTAGGCATTTTTTTGACCTCCCATATTTTATAGTTCAATACTGGCCTGTGTGACAACTTCTCATCTCATATGTGTGTAAATTAATAGTAATGATTGTATGGTATATATGTATAAATCATCGTTAATTTATTGCTCTAACAAATTGTTAACAATTTTTTCAAAGGCAAAGTCCTCAGCAAATCAGCATTAGTCCCATAATTCATAGCTTTGACTTGCGTGTTGTTGCTGCCCCAGCAATTATCATGGACAAACCATCTGCTGATCCCACAAGTAAAAAGGTTAGTGAACATACAGACTCAGTGATTTTAAGAGACATATAGAAATCCTCATCGTGAATAAGCCCAAAAGTTTTATTTGGCACTGGGCCTATATCAATTTAACTGATAGATTGATTGATTAATTTTTTGATTAATTTATTTATTGATTGAATGCTGGTGATGGTATTAAAATGCCACATAAAGTTTAATACTACTAAATGTGGCAAAGACAAGCCAAACCAGTCACTCGTCACAAATCGTGTTTCAGAGAAAATGGCCAAAACATGCTGGAATGTCAAATTTTTAAAAATCTATTTTATTGCACTAAACTAACCTTTATATATCTACACATCATTCTATGGTGTTATTTTCCCCAATGTTAAAACAATACTTTTTAAGGATTAAAAGATAGTTTCTGCATGAGAAATGCCTGAAATCATAAACTTTGACGGCTAATTTCTCATATATTGTTCTTTAACAGTTATGTGGTTAAACGCTTGTAACTTCATAAGGAAATGTCCGATTTGAATGATGTTTTTACCATTTTATAGCTATTATTTTACTCGTAACACTGCATTAATAACTCAAAATCAATTTTTGCGTCGAGTGACTGGTTTGGCTTGTCTTTGCCACAAATATAAAATTCTATTCTGGTAATAGACAATTGGTAACATTTTAAAATCTGAGATCGTAACATACCCGCATGGAATAGTAACTTCTATAATTATAATGGCAATAGTCACAATAATTTAGTAATGAAAAAATGAGTAGGTAGCACTTTTTTGACTAACAATGAATTTTATTTCACAAGCTTCATTATATAAGATTTGTATCATTGTGTTATTGATGGAAATGTTCATTCATTAATTTAATGATAAAAAATAAATCAATTTTTATTTTTATTTTACTGAAGCGTATTACTGTTTGCGGACACTCATTAGAGTTCAATATTACAAGTGATGTTGATTTATACTTAAGCGCTGGTCAGGTCCTACTAGCTCAGATGGCCTTACAAACCAACATTGGTGCCTTTTCTACAGTGTCTTCATCATATACAACCAAAGGTAAAACAACTTCATCCAAAGTATCAGAGGAAATACCCCTGGTAAGAGTGCGTCCAGTGGAGGACAGCGGTCTTGGAAGTGAAACGTCATCAGTTAATTTAATACCATCAAGTATTGAAGGCCAGTCAGGGGAGAGAATGACAAATTTGTTGTCGGGGAAACTTGAAAAACCAAAGAAGCGGAAGACAAAATTCACGCCATTTGATATTCTTCTTACGGCAGGAAAGATTTCGTTTATGGTATACTCACGTAGGTTCACATCAGAACCTTTGCGACATAATAATCAGAAAACCAATAATGATAGAGGAAAGAAGTCATCATCAATAACAAAGCAGATGTCAGCTCTGTGTCTTGAGCAAGACATCACCAGAAAAAACCAGCAGAATGTCTGGAATAATGAAGATGGCTGTACAAGCTCTGTTGCCATTGAGATGGACGCATATGATGCTGATGAAGAGAGCACGGATGATAAGGATGAGGAAGAGAAGACTGTTAAAGTGATCCACCCATTTCTCTATCTTGTCTTATCGCAACCACATGTTATCATATCGATGGAGAAAGTTAGTCAGAGGGCTGAGTTCTCAGTTTATGATTTCTCGATTGATGGAACTTCAATCAATTTCCGTGAGACAGGTAAGATTTCTTCCATGAATTATAATTTGTTGCTAGAAGAATTTTAAAAATCCAAGAAACAAGTGATGAAATTCATTTTTAACAAAATTTTTTTTAATAGCAGTGAAGATTCCAATGCGCCAAATACTAATGAATGCAGTAGAGGCTTTGGTATATGTAATTATGTATATGAGTGATTGACATATTATTTCTTGCATGTGTTAGATGCTACGAAACAAGTGCCAGACAGTGGGGACTACACAGTGTCATGGCTTGAGACATGCCCGGGAGATCCAGACCCTAAGACCGGTATTCTACCATCATTATTCACTTTCACAGTCAAAGATTTCTTTTCTAGGCCTGGTGAGTACAATATTTGTTTTCCTTTAAATCTTCTTGTCATGATATGGTATCAGAGTTCAATCTTACATTGACAATATTATGTAATATTATGCAAATTATGATAATGATGTCATGATTACTCCTCAGCCATCATGAACATGAGTGTATGCAGACCAATGAGGGCACATCTTAGCCTCACTAAGATGGATCAGTTTTTTGACTTCTTAAGGAAACTCAGTCCACTTACATCATTCAAATTTAATGCCGATCTAACGAAAATGGAAGTGAGGCAGGAACAAATACGATCAATCTCTACTAACCTAAGCAGTCTCAAAGGTAGGCACACATTTGAAATTCATTAAATCTAATGTTGTTTTATTTTTTTCAGATATATTCTTTAAGTTAACATGAAATGATGTCATTTCACAACTTTAATGATACCTTTTGGTCCTTTCCAGCCCTTATCAATACTCCTACGTTTACAACAAATATATGCTTTGCATGTATTATATCACAACATATCTAACAAAAATTTAAATTTTGGGTTAAATGCCATACTAAACTACATACTTATTAACCCAGCGGTTAGCCCTTACGAAAATGAATGTCTTAAAGTTTCCTTCAGACACTAAATAATGAGTCTGTTCTGTTTTTAGCATCAATATTACAGATTTTTTCCATTGTTTTTAAACCTGTAATATAAACATATTTCTGCATTTTTCTTTTTGGTTGATCCAGAATGTCAATATAATCAGTGTAGATAATTATAATGTTTTTTTTAAACTGTGGCACAAAACAATTGAACATATATTATTGACATAAAAGATAAAGTTATTTACATAATATCAGTGTAGTTAAAAAGTTAGTAATAAAAAAATAAATACTATAAATGGGATAATATAGAAATAATAAAATAAAAGTAATTATATTGATATTAAATCACCAACTTATTTTTCCTAGAGAATTTCCAATAGATTGTTGAATCTAATCCAAATTTTAATTAATCCCAGGCAAATAAGAACCCGGAGAATGTTGTGTGGCGGTTTGTTCCACTGAATAGTGCCTTCCCGGCATCAAGTGATAGCCACACCTTATCTCCCTTTACGAGGTGGAGTATAAGACTATTGCTTGTGGAATCCGTTGAATCCGATCCGTAATCCATAAAAGCCAATTGATTTACATTGTTTTTTATCAGTCTCACTATTGGCCAGGAATTGGAAGATGCTTTATAGATGTGCGCAATGAAGTAGTACGTACCATTGTAGACACATGTGAAGATACCACTATTGGAGTTAAAGTGGTTATTGGTGTTGATAAACGTGTGCGAGAATGTGATGATAACATTGGATGATCCAGGGGCTTTAAGTGCCGTCTCACGTGCAACTGAGAATGCAGATTGTGGTGGTCTTGGTGGGTCATTTCCCTGGGATCCTTTTAAACCTTTATCACCTAGATAAAATAACATAATTTGTATTATTATTTTTTACTGTATTAGTTATTTAACACTGCAACAAGCTTGTGTTCAGACAAAACAATTACGTTAACATATCATAATATTATCAAGTGGTGCATAACTTGTGTGTAGCATTGGCATACCCATAACCAGTAATATTGCACAATCCATGATACGTATTTTTGAGTTACCTTTTTGCCCTTCTGGCCCTGTAATGCCAGGAGGTCCTAAGTCTCCCTTGATACCTTGTGGTCCTGGTTCTCCTGCTCCGGTAGCACCTGTCAAGGTTAATAAAACAATTAGAAATTTGTAGACTTTGATTAACACAATATAAATCAGAAAATATAAGTAAATTATACTGATGTACTTCTGTATTGTTGCACTACTGTAGACAATTACCAGAAATAAAGTACATAAAATATAAGTGTATATTAGCTTGTCTCTAGGTTGGAAGAAATCTTAAATGTGTTCTGACATAATATTTCATATACATTGATAATAATAACAGTAACAATTGTAATAATATTACAACATTAACATTGTTGTGACATCCGCACTGTAACTCCCAATTTTATCTCCAACTGTGCACTAATTTTTCATTAGTGCACAGTTTGCATGATCTTTTTTTCTGTTTGATTTTTTTCATGCATTAATCTAACCTTTGTATAGTAATTTACACTAGTGTATGAAACGCAACTCTGCTAATTGCTAATAGCGTATATGGCCGGCTTTAAAATAAGAGTTGTGTATGATGGTAAAGAAAACCAGGAATACTGGATAACCAAATTAAATGCACATGATTGTAAGACAACATTAAAACCACCTTCTTACCCTGAAAGCCTTGTGGTCCTTCAGGCCCAGGAACACCCCTTGGTCCTGGTGGTCCACCTGGGTTTCCTGGAACTCCACTAACACCTCGTTCACCTTTAGGTCCAAATGCACCTCGATCACCCTTTTCTCCTCTTTCACCTATAAGTAATCAATCAAAGAGTTTTAAAATGCAGCTCGTAAGATCTCAGGAAGATAATAATTGTTTATCTGCAACTTTCCTGGAGTCCAGTGAAATATTAAACTCATTATGCTCAGAATCTTTTCAAGCCAAGTGACAAAGGCTCTATTCCCTTTCATCAACCAATTAAATACAGTACAGAGAGAGTGGAGTTGAATAGCTTGAGTTGATGCTTGCTTTCCAAGAGTTCAATTCCTGTTACCATAACAGGATTTCTTCTCATGACCAAAACAACTCCAATCCCTAGCCCTCATAATGAGTCTATGTAGAGCAGTGGTGGCCTTACAAATCGGCCACAGGGGCAAAGTAAATTTTTGATTTAACACTGAGGGCCACACCCAAACTTTGTTTGATGTTTCCAGTGAGCTTCCAAAAACCTCCAAAAATCCAAGGACTGCTTTTACACCACTTTATTCTCAGTTTTAATGTTAACTTTAAAAAAACAAGGTGTTTTGTCACCATTGTTGCTTGGCGGGCCGCACACATAGTTTTTAATTCTTTTTTGCAGGCCGCAGAAAAATCGCTGCACTGTCGGGCAGCATGCGGTGCCCAACGGACCGCACTTTGCCCACCAGTGATGTAGAGCATCTGGTTCTAGCAGTATATAGTTATTTTTGATTTGTGTATTTTCTCCAATTAAATTAAGTGTACTTTTTACCTTTGCCACCATTTGGACCAGGCATACCATTACTTCCATGGTTTCCATGCATTCCGGGTTGTCCACTTGGACCCTGTATACCAGGGACACCGGGAGGTCCTTGAGCTCCTTGTGGTCCCATGTCTCCTCGTTCACAACATGACAGACAAGTTCCAGCAGCTTGGCTGTACTTGTTGGCTTTTTTCTCTGCTCGCTCTTCTGGTGTCCTAGCAGCCAAACTAATGGCAAGGATGCTTATTAGGAAGTATGTGGAAATCATGCCTGTAAAAGCGGTAATGATGATACCAAGCTAAAGTTACTTTAATATAAGTTTGCTTTAGTTAATGAAGTTAGTGTGTGCAACATATTGGTTATATGGTTGTGGGGAGCCCTTTGCAATTATTTTTTGACAGCGTGAGTCATTACAGTAGGTGTTTTCAAATCGCACTTTCATCACCTTTTACATTAGACTAAGTACATTTTTTCAATATTGTTTCTTATGGTGGTATTATCACCTTTTCATTTGAATAGATCAACTTTTTCATTTTATTTTGCTTCCTTGCACACTCTGCTACAACTATATTATTTATCTTAGGCTACTATTGCAATCAATAACCAGAAGTGTAGGTTGGTTTGGGGTTGGGGAGGCAAGTGCAAAAATTGAGAATGCTGAACTAATCCCATTCCAATGAAAACTTAATGGTCACTTGTAGTATTTTAACCGACTTTAGTGGAACTAATTTGCTGCTATCCTCCAGCTGACGCCCATGATAACAATAATTATGACAATGAATGTAACTTCTTTTCTCAACTAACATAGAAAAAAAACTTTGTTAATATTTCAACTTTACAGTATATCTGAATTGTATTAAAGGTGTACTGTCCCTTGTGAAAAACAAAAAAAATCATAAAAATCATTTTTGAAATTTACTTGGCCATTTTGAAGTAATATAGAAATTATCAACTTGAACATAGAAATTGGTGTATTTAAAAAATACCCATAAAAAACCATCATTTTACAGTGAAAAAATTATAGAAACACTTCCAGTCACTGGAAGTGTTTTATTATCTTCATTATAATTATCCAGTTAATAATTTTTAATAATATAATAATTTCTATGCTCAAGTTTATAATTTGTATGTTACTGCAAAATGAGCAAGTTAATTTAAAAATTATTTTTTACAATTTTGGTCATTTTCAAGGGATAGTACATCATTAAGTATGTCCTCACTTCCATTTTTTTTTCATTTAATCTTTTTCTGAAAATTTTTTCAGTAGCTGTCACCCTGCTAAATTAATAGGATGACCTAAAAACCTTTCATGTCATGCAATTCAATGTACTTTCCCTTTTCCTCATTGGTAATCCTTGGTTATGATTAACCTAATTTGGTTCCCTACAGATACAACTGTTACATACGTACACAAACATCTTTATTTAGCCAAGACATTGAGTGTGGTGCATAGTCGCGATGTCATTATTAATCTTCATGCCAGTATTTTTAGGGTTAGGATGCTGTTGCAAGTTGAAAATTGTGGCAACAAAAGGCTACTCTCCCCTGGGCATCTAATTGGGATTGGTATCAGTAATTTCCGAAACTAATAAGTTCTATTCAAAATTCAAAATTCAAAAAATTCTTTATTTATCCCACTTGGGGCAATTTCACACAGGACTGAATAACAGTAAATAACAACAGGGTAAAAACTAAAAATCTACTAAGAAACCCATTTCAAAGCATGTAATTCAACAAAGCTATTCCTATCTACTTTTATTTAATAGCCTTATACCAGTTGTGACAAAATAGTTTAATTTCCGTTTAGTCCTACACACAGGACTCTGATAACGGACACCATGTGGTAGGAGTTCAAACTCATAAAAAGAGCATGTTCTCTTGTTTCTAAAATATGTTTACATTTACCTACAATGTGTTTGTCACAGAAGGACGAGAGACTGCGTAATGGACTTTCGAGCATGAATTTACTATTTTCTGTAGAGAAGATCTATCTTTAAGGTTTAAATTATAATTCCAGCATATAAAAAAAAAAGTTTAGACATTTTCCACAAATGAATTATAAAACATTTTTAAAATAGACTTATTAACTTTAAATTCATTTAACTTCCTAAGAATATACAGTCTCTGGTTGCCTTTTTTAACTAAAGTTTCAGTGTTTAATCCCCAGCTGAGACTGACCTCAAATACGGTACCAAGGTACTTATAGGAGTTAACAATCTCAACTGGTTCGTTATTTAAGAGTGTTGACCCCATGACTGTCTTTTTCGCCGGAAGTCAATAATCATTTCTTTTGTTTTGGAAACATTAATAAATGTATCCAAAACTTGGCCATGACCATCATTTCCATCTTTAAGAAGTGTAAGTAAAGCAGAGTCATCTGCAAACTTAACAATAAAACTATTTTCATGCGTGCTATGGCAATTGTCAGTATAAAGGATATAAAGTAATGGGGACAAGACACAACCCTGGGATGAACCTGTATTTGTAACAGATACCCTGCCACCTAAATCTAATAATCTCAATATTTTTTTAATAAGTGGAACTGCATATTTTGTATATTTTAAGCCATAAATCTTTAACAGAAAATCACAATCAGAATAATTAATGTTGTATTTGCATTCAGTATGATGTTCATATTAAAGTTCAACGAAATGTAATAATTAATGAATTAATGAAAATGTATGGATAAATAAATGATGGAATTAACAAATGAATGATTGAATGATAATGAATGGATAGATGGATATATAGACAGATGAATTTTCAATTAATTATGTTGGTTTCTTCAATCAGAAACCTTTCTTTTTTTCTTTCTATTTCTAGTTTTTTTCATAAATTTTGCACAAAATGTCTTATAAATACCTTACCTAAAACTTTTACCTTATTTGGCACATAGGACAGAATCACTGTACCATTTCGTGGCAACCAACTTCACATATCACTTGTTAGCGCTCAGTATCACCTGATCAATTTGTATCAATTTTGACCGAGAATATCAGATTAACTCTGGCCTAACAGTCAGTGATAGCCCACAGAGACAATACTAAATAATCAGTTTGCTAGCAGGGCTAGGAATGCACCTAATGGGTACCCAACTGTTTCTTTAGCCTAGTTCTCACTGAGAGGAGAATTAACAGGAGAGATATCAAACAGGTCAACTAAAAAAAAATGTACTTTGGAAATAAAGTGAATGTTTGTGTATGACATGTCTGTATGTGTTCCATAATGTTTGTTAGCTCTCCCATATCGTGTCATGGGGAGCCCACATCACTTACATTACTCCACTAGTTTAAAAAAAAATAAAGATATATTTCTTTTTCATGTGAACCATGTTGATTCAAGAGACTTCCACTTAAGGCAAGACTTATTTTATATTTTGTTTCACAAACTTATTTGTTTAAACTTGGTCAAGAGGAGGGTGGAAAAAAAACCCAATTTTTTTTTCCTATTTAGCAAATAGTTTTGCCAAAAACATCCAGACGGAGGAGAAAATAAAAATATAATTTTATTGGTGAATGTAAACAGTGTAGTAGTTGGATGGTGGTTAAAGGCTTTTAATTTATATAATTAGGAAGAAATATATATATCTTTTTTTATGGCTGGTGTAATAAATTAAAGAAAAACTGTTATTTTTTCTGAAATTTCCAATTATTTATGGCTATTTGGCCAAAATAAAATTTTATTTTTATTCAAAATCATCATTATTGACAGGATTTTTGTCAAACAAGGTATAAATAAAGTCTTGCCTAAGCCCAGGAAGTCAGATAATATATCAAGTCTCATCAAGATTGATTGAAGGTTGAGATTGATGAGTGCAATTTTTTCTTTTTTAGTTGTGAGAATAAACTCTGGTGTTAAACAATTTTCTGTGCTTAGCAAACAAACCTAAATTATCAAGGATGAATCAACCAACCAGATATATTTTTGTTTTCAAATATTTTTTTTAGGTGTTAGGTTTTTTCTTTCTACAGTAGTTTATTTACAACAAACCATAATCTCTGTATCCCTAAAACTGAACTCCTATACATAAAAGTTAATAGAATAGCCAGTCAAACTAACTTAAGAGAGATTTAGCTGAACTTCAAATGATGAAGAGTGTAGATTAAGTACTAACAGCTTTAAATTTAAGCATACATAAGTCACCATTGGAAACAGGGAAATCAATTTTCAGATTTGAAGCATAATTAAATTTCTAGAAAAAAATATATTAATTTCCACACTTAATAATTTGTTCCTTACCTCCAGTTTCTTCCCAGTGGTCCTTAGTAGAAGAATTATAGTTGGTGAAATTTCAAAATGTTTGTACCCTTTATAAGGACAACTATTTGGTATGTTCCATTATCTAAACAGGTGATTATTTTCAACTGCAACCCAATTTTAAATATATACAAAAATATTAAACTGAACGATATCATTGGAATTTATTAGTATGTTATTAAGGTTATAGTAAATTTTGAAGTTTTAATGCTACCTTACAAAAATAAATTGTTTCAAACTTTCTAATCTTTTTTTCCATTTAGAATTGGAGGCTGATGAAGCTGTAGAGGGCGACACATCCCAGTATTCTAATGCCTTATCTTACCTTGCCATGATTCAACAGGTTACACTGAATATGCATCAAATAGTAATTGTCATGACAACAAAGCCTCACCCAAAATTACCAATACTGTTGTTTTCATTGGGCAGTTGTCAAGGAAGTGTTGTTGTAAAGAGCGAAGATGGTGAGTTATCTTGGATATTATGTTTATTTTTATTTTTTATTTATTTATTTTTTTTATATTTTTTTTTGTTCATGTAAAGTCCATAGAGGCAACTTTCTTTGCCCTGTATATTGGAACTACATTTGTACCTCTGTATTGAACTTCCATCTTGGAGCTAGTTTCTGCCATTATCTTGTACTTAAATGTTGCAAAGACAGGGGTCCCAAGTTGTGGAAGTGAAATTCCTGGAGATTTTGTCGTGATGGTCATTCCAAGGATTGTCGCGCGCCGCGACGCGCTGCGGCGCATGTACTGCAGTTACATCATCACCGTCAACACACTTTATAAACAGAAACTTATTGAAAATACTACAATAAATAAACAGTACACATTTATTATGCTGCATCACTTAATGATATTTAATCATTACAGCAAAAACATTAATTTAAGGGTAAAAACTACACCCCGCCGGACACCATCCCGGTATTTCAAGGTTTCGGGGATCATACATTTATTTACAAAAATATACACACTATACTGTACAGATAACAGTTAAATATTGTGGCTTAAACATCTTAAGACCAATTGTGGGTTAAGTATCTTAAGCTGGTGTGCTGTCTGGTGTCAGTGGCTTTGATGGTACAGTTGATAATGCTATTAATGGTGCTGGTGGTAATTTTAGAAAATTTTTGTATACCATGATATGTGGCAAAGACAAGTCAAACAAGTCCAGTCACTCGTCGCAAATTGTGTTTCAGAGAAAATGGCCAAAACATGCTGGAATGTCAAATTTTTAAAAATCTATTTTATTTCACTCAACTAACCTTTATATATCTACACATCATTCTATGCTGTTATTTTCCCCATTTTCAATGTTAAAACAACACGTTTTAAGGATTTAAAGATAGTTTCTGCATGAGAAATGCCTGAAATCATAAACTTTAAAGGCTGATTTTTCATATATCGTTAAACAGCTGTGTGGTTAAACGCTTGTAACTTCATAAGGAAATGTCGAATTTGAATGATTTTTTACCATTTTATAGCTAATATTTTACTCTCTAACACTGTATTAATAACTCAAAATTGATTTTTGCGATGAGTGACTGGTTTAGCTTGTCTTTGCCACAAATTGTACATCAATTTTCTACCTTGATTACCTTGTCCCTTTCTTTATACCTCACCTCGAAAATTTAACATTTACCATATACATTTACCCCTTACCTCACTACCTTGCTTTGTAGCATTATAGATTTTTCAATTAATATTCATTGTCTTCCTCCTTCTTTACAGGAATGCCAAGTCAGCTAGTTTCTACATTAGCATTAAAAGAACTGCTCCTGAAAACCTCACTCCAACATGTAACAAAAACATTCATTGGCCCAAGCAAAGCAGACATGGGGATAGATGCCAGGTGGTGTTACCACAGTGGTAACACATTCAGCGATCTAATACCCAGATGTCATTTTGATCTGCATGTAGGACACATCCAGGTATCCTTTGGCCAGGAACATCTCAGTTGCCTACAACTTATAACAGAGCAGGTGCAAGAGATTGGAGACAGTAATATAACTAAAGAGGTTAGATGATATCACAGTTTTCAGTTCAAAAGCTCGGATGATTTCGTCATAGTAATGGTGATGATGATGGTGATAGTGTATTTGTGGCAATGGTGATGATAATTATTGTAAATATTAATTAAATGAATATTAAAATTTTAATGTTGCTTTGAATTTTTCTCTTTTTTTCAGTCTGATAATAAACCTTCAAATAAAAGGAGGAGAAAAGACACGCACTCAGAGGAGGTTATATGTAGATCAACTGATGACCTACGTGCTGGGGCCTTCCGCTACCATAGTGACATAGGTCAGGGTTCTTTTTCTGTATATTTTTTTAAAAGTTTAATCATAATAAAATTTTAATATATCATATAAATTTAATAAATAAGTAATAGTGACACGTTTATATATTTATGTAAAACAAAACAGATGGCATAGGTCTTCTACCAAAACCCAATGAGATCATGTTCTGTACTGAACCTGATGGTAATGCTTGGAACCAGGGTGCCATGACCTGGTGCTACCCAGAACCAAGAGTTCTCACCAAGGTGCTGGTGACACCTTTACCACTAAATGCTGCTGTGACATCTAGAGAAACAGAACAGAACTCTGAGGTAAAACATTTATGTTTGTGAATTTCTTGTACAGGCTGTAGTTTTAAGCTCAAATGAGGATCTTCATGAGCACCTCTTTTTACATCATAAACTTCCCACATGAGCATCTCTTTTACTTCACTGCCATCTTCATGAGCACCCCATATGAACATTTCTTGTATTCACTACCATCTTCATGAGCACCCCAGAAGAGCATCTCTTTTATTTCACTACCATCTTCATGAGCACCCCACATGAGCATTTCTTTTATTCACTACCATCTTCATGGGCACCCAACATGAGCATCTCTTTTACTTCACACCTATCTTCATGAGCACCTCACATGAGCATCTATTTTATTCACTACCATCTTCATGAGCACCTGACACAAGTATCCCTTTTGCATCGCTACCATCTTCATGAGCATTTTTTGATTTATTGACATCCATTATGTCTGTCAATAATAATAATTCCTTTAAATAGCTATGTGTCCTGTATAGATTAATATTGTTATTTGCAGGTTCCATGTTTGATCCAATACTGGGATAATACTCGGAAGTGCTTCACTTCGTTTCGTTTGCTGTGTCTGTCTGAGTCAAGTTCATGTGAAGTCAAGTTACCCTATGTAGAACAGGAGCCTTCTCACCACTTGGTTGCAGCAGAGCTGTGGAGGGTTATTGTAAACTACACCAGTGAAAATCAGTAACTACTTTTGATATATCTCATTGAAAATATTAATAAGATTTTTATAGTGCCAAATATCCATTTTACAGTAATGCTCCAAGTGAGTTTATTTTAGATTCAATAACCCAAGAATATGATGGAATAAATAGGAAATAAGTGAATTAAGTTGATGTATAGATTCTTGCAATCATTATATTTGTTTATTAAAAGATAGGTGTATTAATAACTGCCATGTATGTATAGTAAGTCTATACTTAAACTATCTGTTTGATAAAGAAACATTAATGGTGAAGAGCATGGTCATGAATGTGTGCCTCTTTTCTTTTAGGCCTGAAGGCACTGTTCAATCTGTATATCCGCTGTTATCTCCAATGGCTCTAGCAGCTTCCATGCGAGTGGACTCTTGCTTCTGTCCTCGCTTCGTACCAGCATTTACCTCAGCAGTTCATGTTGACATGGTTGAATTGAAACTCGCTAACCATTTCAATCAACTTGGAAAAGGTAAGCATCTTTTCAATTTCTATTGATTAATGATAAAAGCCATTCTTGCTTTGTTAACATAAGCAGGGGCAGATCCAGAGATGTCCGAAAAGGGGTGGGGCGGCGATCGAGAGACAACACTACCCTAGAAGCCCAGAAATAACTCTGGGGTGTTTTGGCCGATCAATAATTTCTTTTTCTTTCTTTTTTTGACTTTCCAAAAGGTTTAGGGACCGGGCCAGCCTGACACCTCTAAATCCGCCTCTGATGAGTCTTGTATATCTGAAACATTGAGCCACAACAAATCTATAATTATTCAAATTTATGTGTTCTGCTTTTTGAATTGTAGGACTCTCCAAGAGGTTTGAACCATTCAAGTTAGACAAGTTAAACCCAAAAGATCAAGAGTTTATGACAGTGACATTAGAGGAATCTATGGTTATGGCGAGCACCTGGGGCTCAAGACAAGAGAAAGTCATTCTTGAGGTATGCTTGTATTATTGTTACTTCTTCATATATGGATCATGCCCATATATAGGCAATTCAAAAAAGATTTATTACATAAAATTATGAACCTTTATTATTATTATTGTTGTTGTTGCTCACTTAATAATTTAATCAATAATTAGTGTTGTTTAATTTTTTTTTTTATTCTTCATAGGCCTCATCAACTGTATCTTGTAATCTACTTGAATACAGAAACCTGACTGTGCAACGTTTTCTCGAGCCATGTGAATTTGAAGTTTCGCTTGACCTTGATTCTGGTGTTGTATGCGAAATGCAAGCTGACCTTGGACCAATGAATGTCAACTTAGGTCAAAGTACAATACATACCTTGAACTCAGCTGTACAAGCTTGGAACCAGGTAAGTGCTTGCGAATTGGATTTATCTGTGTACTTGATAAACCATAACATACCAGTGTTATCATTTTTGAAATCCCTAATAAATAATGGAATCATCCTTTTATGAAACACCCCTAATGATAGAATTGTCTGTCCAAGTGCACTAAGTATATGATCGTTATACACCATGCTATCATCCTCCCCTTTTTTATGTTATACAGTGAAAAATATACCAGAAATAGCTTAACATTAAAATGATTTTCAAGAAAAAATCTGAAAATAAAAAATATATATATATATATATATATAAATGAGGAAGGTATTTTTCGGAAAAAATACAAGATATGTTTTTGCAAAAACTGTTATTCACAGTGAACATTAGTTTTCTAAAATGCATGTTAAGCTCTACATAAAGATAGGTAATTAGTATAAGAAGATGAGGTTTACAGTATCTTGTCATTCCTATATATCATCTAATGTATAATTTCTTCAACTATGTCAAAAAATGTATATTTTTTTTTAGTATAAAGAGAAGGAGAGAGAAGAGCTTGTACTTACGTACTACACAATCTGTAATGATACCGTTGAAACACTTCGATTTGGTCAAGTACACACCGACGAGTCTATTGTGTTGCCATGCCGACAGATGCATGCTTACAGTTGGCGGACGCATAAGACAGTGCATTGGGGACAGGTATGTTGGTTTTTTGCCATTTTCTATTAGTTTTCTGAACATTTATTATCTTTATCCAGCTCAGATAAAATGTATGATATATATTTTTTAGTAGAATCCAGTTGTACCAAACGAACAAACAATTTCGTCGAATAGGGAATGGGAATGATTGTTAGGGAGACGGTTCCTATTTGGCGCCCTGGGTTGGACTGTTCTATTTTTTTTGAAGGGGTGATCCGTCTTGGGAACAATGACAATTAGTCGGTTTATCCAGGTAAGTATCTCACTCATAGAATACCAACATCACAATTAATTTGTGTATTTTGTGGTGTTTTAATAATCTTAAATTTACACGCCATTTAGAAAATACATGTGTGTATAGAAGGTTGGCGTAACTGGCGTTGGTCGGAGCCATTCAGTATTGATGAGCAAGCAACCATTGTAAGGAAGCTGCAGCACAAAGGTCACTCAGCTACGCTGTTTATCTGCATTAGAAATGTTACTCCACTTCAAAAACAGGTGAAGTTCATTCTATTTTCTTTTTCTTTATTGTTTTGATATGGTCATATCGTCATTTAATCTGTCATCATTTTGGTGGTCATGTATCATGCTTACATACTGATGTAGAGAACTGTGAAGGAATTGCTCAGGACATCCCAACATGGTGTACATGTCATGAAGTAATTTTTTTGTTCATATAAGCATAGGCAACACAGACAGGTGCTGTGTGAACAAGGGTAGAAGCTACCAATGTACATGTAGTACATGTGGATGGTTTTGTGCTTCAAGAATTGGACTCATCCTTATTTTGTTATTATTCATTTTTGTATTTTTTTATTTATACAATGTAATAGGAATACTAAATTATAAATAAGAATACAAAACACAGATTGCACAGAATAACACACACTGAAAAATATGAAAAATAAATAGAGCAAAAAAGAACAAATTTGTCATAATAGACAGTTCAGGATGTCACCATTTTCACAATGAATATACTTTTTTATCACAGATACTATTTTTTATGTTCCTTTACAGGTTGTCTTCTATGGCCAGCAGCTGTTTTCAAGTCGTGTGAACATACCATTGGAGATACAATTAAATAAAATAGTGCAGGTAGGCGGAAGCAGTATGGAGTGCAAGCAAACACTTTCGCTGCCTCCTGAGGGCGTCCTGCCCTCGCTGGCGTGTGATGATGAATCCATTACAAGTATGCGTATCAAAGTAGGAAATCGAGATTCTGAATGGTCTGAGCAGATGGCAGTGTCTGGGGAGATGAGCAGAAAGAATGCTATTGTCAAGGTAATTATTTATGTTATTAGGAAGCTTTCGATTTGTGATGACGTAGAACGTAATGACCTTATATTAGGTTAACTGTGCATTTTTTAACATTGTGCGTTGGATTGGATTTATTTGGTGTAAGCACCAAGGATAGCCCACGAATTCTAGAGGAAGACTTTTTTCAGTGGGGTCTTTATGGTGGTGATTGGACAGTACACCGGGAGACAATCCCCCACTCTTTTCCGAAGAGTGTACTGCGTTCTTCAACATGCACATGGACCATAAATGCACATGCGAAAGATGGTGTGCTATATTAACTTGTATTTCAGCCCTACAGCTGAAACACATGGAGAGGCAACGATGGGAATTGAACTGGGGACCAATAGATCTCCACGGCTTAGCACACACACAGTAGCTACAACTAGATTAGCCGACTGAGCTAAGCTGCTCTCTCTAAAGCAAAGCTGCTCTCTCGTTACCTTTGCCGGCCGCATCTACGTTCAGGTCAGAACAAGGACTGTGCTGATTTAAAGTAGAATGTAATATGCACGCAACCACAGTCCCAGATAAATGAGTCCATTCTACGTTCTCGGTTCTATGTTCTCAACCAAAAGCTCCCTATTTTAAGGGTTATTAAGGCCAACTCAGACAGCGTTGTACGACGCAGCCCGACAGGATTTGTTGTCGCGTCGGGTCTGTGTGAGTTAAACGCAGACGCGATGGTGTGCGTCGAGGGCAGTCGCGTCGTAGAATATTAAGCATGTTTAATATTTCTCAGAACGGCTTAAGACTGTCCCCGACAATAAATCGCGTGGGGCTGCGTCGTATGACGCTGTCTGAGTTGGCCTTTACTAACAGAGCCCTGCCACAGATCTAGTTTTTGAGGGTTTACTAATAGAAAATGTCAGTATCAATATTTTGAAGAAAATAACGCTAAAAAAGAACGAAGTTTCGACTCCTTCATGGAAGAGTCAAAACATCAAAAACGTACTCTTATTTGTATTACCAATGTTAGTGATATAAGCAATGATGTAATCATGTTTCTTTTATAGGTTTCCTGTAAGGATGAAGCCATCCTGCAGCTTTGGTGCCGTATATACACTGAAGAACATAGTGGAGAGACACAGAGGCTGGTAAGTATATAACAACTAAAGCTACCAATTGTTATAATAAGATATAGAATACCTAAAATGTAAATCTGTTCACAGAGTTAATTACCCTGTATCTCAATTATTTACAACCACCATTGCTGCTGTGTTTAACCACTTTGTCTTCTTTTTTAGATAATTTTCAGTCCCCTATTCACTGTGCGTAGCCATCTCCCAAGACCGCTGGTTATGAGTCTCCACACAAAGAAATTCAGTTCTGTACAAGTGTACAATGTCAAAGGTCAGGGTAACAAGCTGGATCTCTATGATGTTATTCCATCCACATGGCATTCAGCAACATTCCAGTTGAGGTATGATTATGTATCTACTTTAAGTATATGTGCATGTCATTTATGTATTAGCGAGATCTTATTTGATTCCATAGGCTTACTGTAAAACTTTTAATAATAATTCCCACTACTCTATTAGTAATCCCCTTCTAATAGTAAACCATCTTAGAATTTCATCTATAATAATAACCCACTACTCTAATAGTAACCCATGGAGGTACTATTAGAGTCACCAAAAGTATAGACAAAGTCATTCAAATCAGCATTTTTGTCGCTTTGACAAGATTTATTCCTTAAAGTAGGCTCTTCTCAATGTGGTAGCGCTTTTGATGAAGCATTCTTGAATTTACTCCTTGGTGTTTTTGCGTTTATAAATAAACTCAAATCAATTTAAGTGTTTTTTACTCGTACTGTAGTAATTCATCTCTATAAATTACTGACGCGAAAAAGTTGGGGTTTACTCTTTTCAAGTGCGTAAATTGAGCTTAGTAATAGTAACCCACTACTCTAATAGTAACCCATACCCTAATAGTAACCCACCCAAAAAAACAATCAAAGAATAGTAGCCCAGGGTTATTATTAGAAATTTTACAGTATAATCATTAGAACTGATAGTACAATGGGAAATAGAGCTGCAGCTTAAGGGTTAAGATGCATTCATTCCAATCCTGTTGGGTTCACTGACTGCAGTTGGTTGTGAAATTAATCATGAAATCATTGTCTGAATAATAATGGTAAATATGTTTTATTATAGTGAGAATACATCCCCTTCTAATCCTGGAATACCTGTGTCAACCGAACTTCTGGATGAAATAGTCCAAATGAAGGACGAAGCTGAGGAGGATGAACCCAAATTGACGATTCCTGTGTTGGCCTACGACTGGAAGAAAGAGATTGAAGCTAGCTGGCCATATATTGGATCCAGTGGAAAGAGGTAAATTCAGTTCTGTTTAACCCCTGCTAAAAGAGATCACATAACCATGGAAATCACAAGGCAAACTCGAATTCATTAAACTGAACTGATGAAATTGATATTTTTTTAAACAGTCATGTGTCATTCTATGCATGTTATAAAAATGTAATCAAGCATTAGTGAGAACTCGTTGCTCACATATAGGTGTGTATTTTTTTTTAATTATTTAATGCATGGAAAGGCTCATCACTTGCAATAATATACAATATATTTATTGTGAACCTATAAACTATGGTGACTGCACCACTCAAACGATCAAAAGTTTCATGTTTACCGTCCTAAACGTCATAATTTCTTTCATGATTAAGCTGCGTAAACCAGTAAATACTTCAATAGAAAATTTCTATCAATGTTTCTTATAATGATAAAGAATTAATTAAATCATCAATAAAAAAACTACGTATCCTTTTATATTTTTATTAACTTTCAGATTATCCAGTATTGACACTGATGTTGACACAGAGAACAGCCTTATAGAGGATGATATACAGCAGCCTAACACTGACCTCAAGGTCAGTCTTCACCAACACTGGTCGGAGGTCAACACAATAATTATTGATGTGATGCCATGGTGCCTTATCGTCAATCAGTCACACCTAGACTTGGTAATTATTGAGGAAGGTGAACCCAACTTATATGTGAAACATAGAAAAGCTGTTGCACCACAGAAATTTAAGGTAAATGATTTTAATGTATAACAGTCCAACCCTGTTTAAATTAGTGTTAGTAATGCTATTAGATAGAATGCCACATTGTACAGAAAACTATCAGTGTTTTATGGTGTTTATTTACATTACAGGGTCACATTAACTTAGTGTTTGAGGACAGTAAGCAAGAAAGCATTTCAAGGGATCCAATCTTTATACTTGCTAATAAACCACCAGCTTGGCAAGATTTGGGAACCAATGAACTTCCACCTGAAGGAAGTATGTTATACTCAATGACCAACAAGGAGGATGCAGAGGTAAAGTGGGTGGTCTTCTATCATTATTAATGCCTTCCAATGTTGGGCATCACATATTTTATCTTTTTCTTGTAGCTGTCTCACTGATAGTGTGTACCAACTAATTGTACACAATGTTTTGAAGGTTTAATTTGAGATATAAGATAAAAGATTGAAATAAGTTGGTTTTGCAAGGGTCTGCACTCCTCCAGCCTATGCCTAGCCAATACAAGTCTATTTTGTGAATACTTACCTGGCAACATGGCCTCCCTTGCCGAAATCTGTTATAGGCTCAAAGGAAACAAGCATATTGTTCATTCACGCAGGGCGTATATATGCGGCTAGGGCAATTCCATTATTTTTCTTTTATGTTCAGGAGGTAAGTTTCAAAGGAAACTTAGGCGTTCATTTTTGTTTTATCCAGTAAAACAGTATCACTACTGATTTATTTAGTTTTATGTTTGTTCTCTCTATGACTAGTTCTAGACTGTTTTTAATGGTGCTGAAAGCAGGAATGCATATAATAAAACAAAATATAATAATAATTATAATTATATTACATTTATTTTTTACAGAATATTTGGCATCTCAATATTACTTCATCTATGAAGTATGGGATGAGAATAATCAGCATTCGTGAAAGAGTACTAATGGTTAATAATAGCAAGTACAATCTGATGGTCAGGCTTGTTGATACATCCAGGTGTCAAGAAATGGTAAATGTTCACTTCATTATCAACTCCAACATATTCCATTACTGTGTATTACATTTTTGTTTAGTAGACTCACAAAATCCTTTTCTTCCAAAATGTATTGCAGTCAAACTTAAAGCCAGGCTCTGGAGGAAAAACCTTTTTTTATATGTACAACTGATTTTTTTTTTAACTTCTTTATCAACACCAACATCTTCCATTACTGTGTATTACCATTTTGTTCAGTAGACTCACAAAATTTTTTTTTCCCAGTATGTATTGCAGTCAAACTTAAAGCCAGGCAAATATACTGGTTATTTTTAAGCATACCTTGTATTTACAGTCAAAATACAACTTCACACCATGCCCCTGGGCATGCTCCTATAATCCTGTGATTCCAAGACTAACATTTATTTAAATATTTTCTGCACTTTTGTATTATTTTCCTTTTCTAGCACACTAAATGTTTTTATAAGTCAGCATGACGTCATCCCTTTGCATTGAATTTTTCTGTCGCCGACTGATCACTACAGTAATTGGTTATACTCCTTATCAAATAATTTTCATTTGTGTGCAGATTTCAATCAAAGATCAAGACTCATTTCATGCAATACCAATCCCATATGCAAAAGATAAAGTACACCCTGTATCTGAATGGAATCTTCCAGATGGTAACAAACACGTTACCTTCAACACACCAAGACAGTTGTACGTTTCAGTTGCTGTCAGTGATTCTGTAGGATTAAAACAAGACAGCTGGGAAAAGTGGAGTAAGTGGGTGAGACTTAATGATTCAAGGCCAAGACAGGCGATTGCAGTACCTGTGAGTAAAAACAAGTGATAAAAACGTGACATGCCTAAATATGGTCATGATGATATCACATCATGACCATATATAGGCACATCATGACCATATATAGGCACATCATGACCATATATAGGCACATCATGACTATATATATGGGCATGCAGCAGTTTTTTTGTCGAAGAAAATGTGACAGTGTGGACAGAGCATTAATTAGTACAGTAAATCCAATTTATTTCCAAATTCGTTTTTTCATTACTTGTAGTCTTTAATACAAGTAACGGAAAACTCCTTTGAAAAATAATGGAACATTCTGACCCAGGGCACCACGTACGAACCGTCTCCCTAACAATGTGTACTTATTTAGGATATCAGGAAGGCCTCCCACACTCCCCCAAACTAAGAAGAATTTCCCAGAAATTAAAATTCACATTGTTTGCTGCATATTTCACTATTGCCTCCTGGAAGTCAGTGGGATGGGGTATTACCATGCACAGAAAGCTTATTTATTCAAATCTCAAGGAAGTGTTTTTTTTTTAAATTGTGTATTTATCTAATTTATTATATAACAATGGTTTTTTATGCTTGTTTTATCCAGTATTCGCAAGCGAATTCCCTGGTAGAAACAGAACCTCTACTGGTCCTGAGTCATGAGCATGAAGGCATTCTGTACATCACAATAGACGTTGATCCTACACCTCGAACGGTCATTAAAAACAAATGTCACTTTGATTTACGATTTGCACAGACTTTCTTAGAAAGTGAATTTAGAGGTACGTAAGTGCAGTTTTTAACATAACCTCACTCACTCTTTGATTGATTAACTTGTATACTCCAGTATGCTGTAAACATTAAACAAGCACTGCAGGAAAGACCAGAAAAGCTTGTTTACGAAAGGGAAAAATATGAACATTGAAAAAGCAATTAAAACAAATAATAATACAAAAATTCAAGTTAATTATTTCTTACTTTATGTTTTTTTTTTCAGATCAAGGCTTTATTTTGGAAGATGATGAAAGTCTTCAGAATATATCATTCATTCACAGCCATTCAACAAGACACTTTGACATCCAGCAGAAACCAACTTCCCAGACGGACAGTCAGCATGCGACTCCTGGCCTTATCTTTGCTCATCACACATCGCATTTTAGAAGTCTCCAAGAGTCAGTGCTTGAGCACTCCATTGAGGAAGCAGAACCTGCCGATGGCAACTGGACTGAAGCTGTGGCACTGGCATCCAGCAGTGATCTTAAGTCTGAGATTCTGACAATGCCTGGAATCGGTTACATCCTAGTTAGCAGCTACTGTATTGCATCCTGTCTACAGATAATTGTGGAGCCACTGAGCATGTCTTCTAAAGACGATGGAACAGATGAGAAAACAATTGAATACCAAGATTATGCTGACATGAAAGAGGTGGAAGTAGAGGAAAATGAAATTGGAGTGGCGACTGAAATGAAAATTGGACTCTTTTTTTCGGAACTATGTATCAAAATTCTAGATCAAGCATCACAGCCTGTACAGGTGTCAGAACTATTGTGTTTATTATTGGAGGACGCTTGTCTGTTGTATTATCCCTCCAGCAATGCTAATTCTGAAGTCATACAGCAGAATTTGCATATTGCTATTGGGCATGTACAGTTGGATAACCAATCGTTCAGCAATGGAAACTTCAATTTCCCTGTCATCTTGGTATCGGATGATGAGATGCTGACAAAACCAGTTCAGAAACCAGTGCTGCAGAAGATCTCAATTGAAGAACAAGCAGAAATCAGCCACTCTGAAGACACTTTTGTTTTCCATGTTATTCTGGAAAAAGAGAGATTAGAAAATGGCTCAGGGGGTGTGCAGTCAGTGAATGTAAAAGTCTTGCCATTGGCAGCTTATCTTGAGGATCAGCTGATATTTCAGCTTATGACAAGGTACAAGAGCTTCATTCCAAGTAAGCTGGAAGAATCCATTGAGATCATTCATGACATACCGTTAGTTGTTAGAGCTGTTAATCAGAGTCTGAGACTACCAATCTGCATGCAGCATTTGACAATTCAACCAATTACAGTGCAAGCTAGTGTTCATGCATCGCTGAAGATGTTTATATCATTGGACGGGACATTGTTATCATTCGGAAAGTTTGACTGTCGCCCGGTGTTTACGACAAGCAGGCAACTTGTTCAGGCCCTGACAATGCACTACACGTCAGGTGCACTATTTAAAGCAGGTACTGGCAACACTAAATTTCTATGAGCTACAATACATTATCAATTTTTGAACAATAGTTTTTCTTTGTGTATATCTTAGTAGTGGCATGTAGCTTAAGAGTACGATTTGTTGTAATATACAGTCTGTGTGAGTTAAACATTAACACGGTAGGTCGAATATTAAGCATTTAATATTATCACTACGACCTTGACAGCGCTCCCAACGATAAATCGCGCAGGCTGCATATTACAACACTCTCTGAGTTGGCCATAAGGTTGGTGGGCCTTGGTCTTTAAGCAGACAATTTATTTACCTATCTGTTTTGCTTTGCCGTTAAAAATAAAATTGCTAGGCCTAGCTTTTACTTTGTTATGTATTAAATGTAGATTTTTTATGTATTAGATGTATTAAATGTACTGTAGATATAATGGGGTATAAGTTTGCATAATGCAAACTCTCCCATTTTTAATTCTCATTGGCTTTATAATAAAGAGTCAAATGTTTCTTTTTACAGGATGGGCAATTGGTTCACTGGAGATTCTGGGTAATCCAGCAGGACTTGTACGCAACATTCGTAGTGGCATTGCAGACTCCATCTACCTTCCTTATGAGGGACTAACTAGAGGCCCAGCAGCTTTTGTGTCTGGTGTAACTGGAGGTGTATCATCACTCATCAAACATGTATCTGCAGGTGAGAATTTAGTAGTTCACAGAACATTTTTTAATGGAGTTTGCATTGAAAAAAAATATTGGTGAATGGGAATTATAGTGTCGGTAATATTTGTGGTAAGGGATTGTGATGTTGATGAGGACGTCGATGGTTGTTGCAATGACAACCGTAACGATGATGGTAAGGACAATAAGGATAATGGTGGTGAAGATGATTATGACGATGACATGAAACTGATGATGACAATGATTTTGAGGATAACAGTGACAATGATGATGACGGTGGTTATGATGATGTTGATAGTGATAATGACAGTGATAATAATGAGGATTATAGTGTTTATGATGAGGATTATAGTGTTTATGATGAGGATTATAGTGGTTGTGATGAGGATTATAGTGTTTATGATGAGGATTATAGTGGTTATGATGAGGATTATAGTGTTTATGATGAGGATTATAGTGGTTATGATGAGGATTATAGTGTTTATGATGAGGATTATAGTGGTTATGATGAGGATTATAATTGTAGGGAGTGATGATAATAATATTACCATTGATTTTCACATTTTGTATTATTTTTTCTTTTGTTCTGTAGGCACACTCTCCTCTGTCACCAATTTTGCATCCAGTGTTTCAAGAAACCTTGACCGGCTGACCCTTGACCCAGACCATATTGCAATGCAAGAACAGCAGAGAAGGATGGTCCCAGACAGGGTGTCATCTGGCTTAATTAATGGCCTTAGTAGCTTTGGGATCAGTCTGTTAGGTATATTGCAAACATTAGTCTTGCCTATGTAAATTAGACATTATTTAGAGTTTGCTACTTTTAGGTGGTTTTTAATAGTGTAATTTGTTAGTGTATACCAGGCAACAATCCCCTGCACTTCTCTCCAGTAACTCTACTGAAACTTAAACATAAGCTACTTTTTGTGTTGAGAAATATTCATCTCTTTTCTTGAGACATCCATTCTTAAAGGTAAATACATTTTTTATCATCAATGTAAATACTGCAAGAAACTATCTCTATTTAAAAATAAACTTATTATTATTATTATTATTATTATTATTAATATTATTATTATTATCATCTAAAGGGGCAATTGCTGGTATAGCAGATCAACCAATCAGAGGCTTTCAACAGGCTTATAATGAAACGCTAACCCAACAGGCAACTGGGGTAATATCAGGAGTGGGGCGTGGTGTGATGGGTGTTGTCATCAAACCCCTAGGGGGCGCTGCTCAGTTTGTTTCTCAAACTGGTAAAGGTGAGTTACAAATACTGTTGTGTAAGTTTCAAATCTTTTAAATCACATGAAATCAAATTTAAAGTGTTTCAAGTTTCTTGTTTTAAAGTGTTCGTTCTGTTTTACTATGCCTCCTTATTTATTTACTTAACAGGGATTCTACACAGTACTGGTCTGTCACCCACACTGAAACCAAAACACCCAGTCCGCAACCAGCTTGCAGCTATGGCTGTCAATGGACAAGTCAAGTACATGTGGTAAGCCCAACTATGCCATGTGATTAAAAATATAAATGAATATATGTAGGCTACACCATATAATGCTTTTATCATTATGATCGTCATTTAATAATACTTTTGGATTATATAACAGGAAAATGCTGCATACGTTACGGAATCCAACGATCCTCATGTGCCTAGATGCTGTGTCTGTGACATACCACGGACTTCACCACAGCGGCGTACTTCTGCTCACTCCTGAAATCCTGTTCATTGTCAGCAGTAGTGAAGACACCCAGCAGCAGGCATTCCCAGTGTCGGAGATCGAGTGCCGTTCCAAGCTTAATGAAGAAGACATGCTGTACCTGGATATGAAGCAAGCCATGACACCTACCAACCAAGAGGTTAGATTTACAGTACTACTTGTCTCTTTCTATAATGATTTTGGTTATGATATAGAAGATTAATATGCTGATGCTGTGGTGGTGGTGATGTTCGTGACAACTCAGTGCATCAGCACAGTCGATGAAGATGATTATGATGGTGGAAGTAGTGATAATGATAGTGGTGATGGTGATGAAGATAAGTAACAATTGTGATGAAAACAAACTTTTTATTGCAACAATGATATAGTCAGGGAGAATGGTTTTATTATTATACTGTGCTTTCTAATTTTATATCTTTATGCAAGTTACAATAAAAGAAATTATAACATCTGATTTATTTTGTTTCTAGTACAATGGCATTTTACAAATCTCTTCAGAAGGAAACTTAATTTCTAAAAATTTAATACTTAATATACAATCGTTTCATACTTATGCTGATTGTCACTTGTATTTTTTTATATAACAGAAGGACACAACTGCCAGTCGAGTTGCAGACTTTGTTGACGCCACTTCCAGATTTACACTTGAGAGTGACAGCCAATCGGAAGGCTCGACGGCAGCTGAACCACACCCAAATTACTGTTATGAAGTCGATCCTCGTTTGCGTGACACTTTCATCTCTATTTTCAACCAAGCAAAAAATCGTCTGCTAGGGAAAGGTTTCCATGGCGATGATGCTCAAAGTTCTACGTTAAGCAAGTTTAAAGCTTGGCACTTATCTGCTACAAAACGCTTAGATTTATGATTGAGGTTTTGTTCAATATTTACAGTGACAACATTCATTATTTGTGTGTGCTGAATGAGGTATATTCAGTAATATGAAAATAATGTAATAACTTGTTTCACACAAGAAGAATCTCCACCTGTTACGTAAATGCAAGCAATGCTACTACACCAATCACTGTAGTCTATTTTTCTTGTGAACCGTTGGAAATTTGGGAATACCCTATAATATGTGTTTGGGCCCAAGTCAGCTTAACATTTTCACAAGAGGGAGAATGAGAAAACATTGGAAAATCTTATTGCTTTATGGCTGATGTATGCTAATGTGAACTAAGCATTATAAGAATGAAGTGGCATATATTTTTAAGGGGGTAGTGGCCTTAGTGCCTTACCTTGTATTCCAAATTGTCTGGGTTCAATCTTGGCCCAAAATGTCCGGATTTCTCTTTCAAACTAAAACAACTCCTCTCTCCAAACATCATAAATGTCTAAATATAAATATGTTCACTTGCAACTACCAATGGTGGAATGAACATCTCAGGATGTTTACTTTTTTACAGAATGTGGGATTTCAAGCATTATACCCTTCGAAAACTCATACTTACCATGAATACTTTTAAAGAGAAAATACACGATAGATTAATTTAATATTCAAATTACATGTGGTATTCAGATAATAAAGATAGCATATCCTGTTAAATAAAACCTATACCACTCAAAGAAAGTTGGACTTTTATTCCATAATCATAAAAATTAACGATTTCATAGTACAGTAATTGGAATGCTTATTAGCTACCTCGTCCCACCAAATGAGGATTGTAGATTTTAAATATACAGTATATATTTCTATATAAAGGTTACAACCTTTATTATTAATACTATTAAATATTTATTATTAAATGTTCACATTTAGGTATATCTTGTTGAAAATGTCAGAACGAATATAATATCCATTACATGCAAAATATAATAATTTGATACTTTGTATTCCACATGCTAGTGTAGCAATAAAGTAGAAGCTATAGTAAGCAAATCTATTTGAAAAAAAAATGCATATAATTGTGGGTGTACCAGGCCTTGACAATACAGTAAACTGAAGTTCAATGGAATTGTTATAGCTTAGTGGTTAAGATGCTTGCCTTCTAATCCCGGGGTTCTAGGTTCAATTCCTGGGACAGCATGAGTTTTTTCTCGCCCTAAGCCTCGCCATAAGCCTCGTGAAGAGACTTAGTGTATAAAGCATTGTTCCATCCTGTACCTGGCAAGTTACTTGATATTGGATGCTGAAGGAATTTGTTTTAATAAACAAAAGACATCACAACATTGGTAGATTAATGCATTTACATGAAGCTGGAGTATTTGTGAGCCACCAATTACATAACAGCCGATCGCAACGTAAATCTAGTCAGAATAAGATATTAATATCTGTGTATGGAGAATGTTGTGTGCGTTTGGTTGGGTTGTGTGCAGATTTGACTACTAAATAAGCCAAACAATTGTTTACAGTCGCATATATTGGGAAGGGGGGTGTGTGTGTGTGTCAGTGCATGTGGGTGTGTGTGGCAGTGAGTGTGGGAGTGTGTGCGCAAGCCTAAGTGGCCACTTAATAAGCCAAATAATTTATTATAATGTGCAGTAAAATCAGCAAGGTTGCAAGTACAAATCAGTGTTACGTACAGTATATCATACATCCTACATTACGAGTATATTTAGTCGTACTTGTCAGAAAGTTGCTAAATACACAACATATTAGGCTATAATTTTGGTATTATAATATGATAATTTACTTAAGTTATAATTCTTAAACGATGGCCTTTACCAACTAGCACTTACCAACCCCATTTTCATTGTCTTCCATTTTTCTTGATTGCACATTTTTTGTTATTGTAATCTATTTAAATAAAGAAATTATTTATTCCTATCTTATATTCGAATTATGTACTTATTTGAAACATTTGTGTGTGTGTATTTCATTAATTTGCAAAGAAGACTGTCTATTTTTACTGTTGCCATTTTTACTTTGAATTAAAAACCCCATGAAGAAACTATAGAATCATTCATCTTTATCACCGCAAGCTTTCCATGCTTGTCCTAAAATTGCTTTTCCCGCAGTGTCCGGCTAAACACAGCATACATTCTAGATAAAACTTACCGTAGTCCATGAACTGTTTATCAGCCAATAAGGATGGAGACCTCAATTTTGAATTTATTTTTCTAAAGGAAATGAAAGATCTGTGAATGCCATCGGCTTTGTGATAGCAGTAACTGATCATTTTCCGTATCGTAACCTTTGTAATATTATCATGTCTGTAAACGGTTAAATTTCTACTCACTAGATACAGGTGCCTGTACATTGACGTCAGTAATTAAATCCAAAGATTTAGTTTTATAGGATTTTTTTCTGAATTCTAGCCTTCCATTCTTTTACATACAAGCTCGCATAAATTAGATTAGGATATCTGTATCTGTACAGTAATTCCTCACATTACTGCCACTGCTTGAAATTGTGTACCGGTATAGAAGAGTTGTCATTCAACTTAACTAAAATGGGCAGAATTTACTATGAATTGCAGACCGACGAACGAATTTAATTTGTGTTTAGATGAGAGTGCCAAATTCACCAGGATAACAAATCCATGTGATCCCGGTAGCAAATAATGACGATACCTAGTATTGTTTCATTAGACATGTTACTAAGTGTTCCACTAAAAGTAAATAGGCATAGGCCTATGTATCATTAAAAGAGATAGATAAAAATTTATTGTACTCAGAATAGAAAGTGGTAGGAAATAAAATTAACTGTAGTACAATACAGTATATATACCAGAATAATACAATATATATTGTACAATACAGTATATATACCAGAATAATACAATATCATGAAGCCCAGTTTGATACATACATAATTTAAATATAATATTAACAATCGATTCAATTTATTAATAATTATTCATTATTATTATCTAATGCCACCTTTATGATCCATTGCGCTTATTTTATTACCTCAGCAGCTATTAAATATAACAAATAAGGTGTCGTCGTGTCTATGGAAACTGATGATCCATTGCGCAGGGCACATCCCCTGTCCGCACAAGGGCACACATTGGCGCTAACACCAGGCGCGTGACAGGGGTCTTGGGTCAGAGTGGGTATTTATTTTTTTTATTTTTTATTTCAACCATCTTTAAAGAGGGTAACCCTTCTAGTTTAGCCCAGTAGGTTAACTGATATTCAGGGGCCCTCTTTAATAAAATTAAAGAACCGTATAAACAACATCATTACAACATAATAATAATAATGATGATGATGATGATGATGATGATGATGATTATGATGATGATGATGATGATGATGATGATGATTATGATGATGATGATGATGATGATGATGATGATGACGACGACGACGACGACTACGACGACGGCGGCGGCGGCGACGACGACGACGACATACAATTCTCATTTCCCGGTTAGTAATACCATACTCACCCACCCCACTCCCCATATAGAAAACAATACGACATAGGGCTTATCTTATTTATAATATAGGCCACACACGTGTGTTTGAAACTAAATATAAGCGTTTTCATCATGGTTTTATTTATTACAAACATATTCTTTCACCATTTATACACATTGAGGCCCTTCTTTTAGGTTACAATGATCTATCTTAAATTTGTCTTTCTTGAGTTTGGGACTATTATGTGTTTAAATAATTTAAAAGGATAAAACTAAAAAAGCCCTAAAAAATGCGCACCAAGCGCGCAAAATATTCTTGTGTTTTTAATTCTAATTTCGTCGGAATTGATGAAAACTCTCTAAAATGTGCAATTTATAGAGGAAATTGGCCTACCGTAACAAGAAATGCGAGCAAAGAATTTGAGAATTTTAGGCACTTTCAGAGAGGATGCATTTGTCAAGGGGTGGGGAAAGATTTTCCAAAGATGGATATTTTCCCCTTGTCCCCCGGTGTTTTTAATTCTAATTTCGTTGAAATTGATCAAAACTCCCTAAAATGTACATTATGATATCTTCCTTTTTATTCTTGCCTTTATTTTTCTCTTCCGTTTTCTTTCCTTTTTTTCCCCCTTCTTTCTCTTTCCCTCCCTCTCCCCTCTTTCTTTTCTCTTATTACTCATCCCGGTACGACGGCTTGGTCAGCCCGGCAAAAACCGTCAGGGGAGAGGCAGTTCCCCCCCACCGCGCCTGTTACGACACTGGCTAACACGCCAATCATCCCCCCAATGAAAAATATTTTTCTGCGCCACTGTATCTATGGAAACTGCTTCTCAACTTCCTCTTCAAAGTGCATCAAGCATTTATGAACGATATATCATTGATTTGTATTGTTAGTTAAATTATTGTGAAGGTGCAGTCTACGGGAATTGCGTTTTGATTCCAGGTGTCTTCGCGAATTAAATCGGAAACTAAGTTTTCAGCTTGAAGACGCTCAGTGTTTGCATACACGTGTACGATAATACTTCAGAATAATTCTGATTTTTATATTATTAACATTTATTAATTTTTATTGTATTTGTAATTCCTACTCGATTTTTATAGTTTCATAGCTCAAATATATAAATGGAATTAACACCCTCAATTTTATAGTAATTGTGAGTGTGTACAGTATGTTGCGTATACATTTTAATGGAGCTTTAACATAGTATTAAAACCATTATTTTTAACACTATGGTACAGTAATACATTTGATGATGTATCAGTTGGTCAATCAAGGAAGCGTTGGATACTTCATGATGTTTATGCCACATATCCAGCATTAGATAAACGAGGACTATATTCTACAATGCCTACACGTTGAAACCACTTTTTTACATAAATACCTTTATATAGTACTTTAGTTGAAGAAAAAAATGTCTTGGGTTTCTGATAAAAAAAAAAATTACTGTACTGAGATGGGGGTCAATGTATTTCTAATAGGGCTTGTATATAGGTTTATATAAATCACAAGATATGTAACTGATATACACCTTTATTGACGTAAAAAGACGTACGGCCCAAAATATACACACACTGTTTTAGTGATGTGACGACATATTAGGCCTATTATCGAAAGACTGCTGTATAAATATTAGCACCATATGCCATATTATCAAATGAATGAACTATTTGAATCAGATTTCTGAACCCTGTAGGCTTATATAGTAGGCTAGTAATCTGCAAATATTACCATTGTCCTCAGCTGCCTGAATATTCCGAGGTAGTACACAATAAATGGTTGTTCATCATAACAAGGACTTTTCACAAAGCATGCAAAGATGACCTGCTTTTAGGTAGGACGAGCTTAGACTATATTAGGTCTACTCCCTTTGTGTTTTTTATTTGCAATTGATGCTTACTTTAAAGATTTAAAGATTTAAACAGGCAAAAATATAAACCTACTAGAGTTTCTGAGATAATTTTCTAAACCTGTGGACTATACTACTTCTGTTTATCAGATTTAATGAACACCGATTTTTTCAAGCGTGCATTGTGAGAGAGCATTGCATTTAGCGGAAATAAACTAAATTTGCACTTAGCAACAAGACGCTCGATGTTTACAGAAATGATTGAAATGGAAGTTGCCAAATAGAAACATTAATTTTCCAATGCGGATAGTTATTTGGGTTTGTATCAAAGGAAGAGCATACGTAAACAACAAGTAAATACATCTCAACTTGAGGTACGTGTATTAGGCCTATATTTTATAAGTTAAATTATTTAAAGCAGTAAAATTGGTAATATTTAGTATCACACAATCTGCGTGCGCACCATTATACCAATTAAGTGATAACAATGGATGTAGATTCGTTTTTGTGTTTGTTCTACTGGTCAGTAGATATTGGCAGCTTTAAAATTAGAATTGATATTGGCCAGTAGATTTCTTTAGCTTTATTTTAAATATCGGTAACTGATATTTATAAGTTTTACGTATTTTTGTTTGGCGTTTTTTTTTTTTTTTTTTTTTTTTTTTTATTGGATTGAGTGCACACGTTTAACTTCTTTTTTGTTTCAAATAAATTTGTGCTTTTTTGTGAACAATAAAAGCAGTTTTGAATCTTGAAAGCTACATTCAATCGCCCTGCCACGTAAATAATAGTAAGTAGTAACACAGAATTGAGATTTATAAAAGATAATGATGGTAGGCTTAGATCTAACTGGTTACCGAACATTAGGTCATGTTGTGGGTACCATCATAGGCTACTAATTAGACAGGCTTTCCATATTAGCTATTGAAATTAGTCTTAACGTGATTTAATTGACAGTCCATGTATTTGCATAATGATTTGTTTGAGAATAATCTAACACATTATATGTTCATTTTATTTACTTAAATATATAGGTTTATTGTCTGTCATAGAATTTGAAGAAAAACTCAACTATTTAATCACAAATGGAATTATTCATTAATAGTAAAATAACATCAGTTATTAATATTATTAATATCAGTTATTAATATTATTATTATCAGTTATTAATAGTAACATAACATCAGTTAGGCCTATAAGCTACCAATAAAAATCGGATTAACTATGTTTCCATAAAATCGCTACAGTGTGATTGTGTTTTTTTTAAACCATGTTTAATAGAGGGTGACCCTTCCAGGGCGTATCCTAGAAGGTAGGCTGATATTCAGGGCCCTCTTAAATAAATGACATAACGTGAAGCTTTTATCAGCGAAGTCTCTTTATGAGGCTTATGTTTTTAGTCGTGAGAAAAAGTCCTGCTGTTACAGGAACTGAACCCAGGACCCTGGGGTTAGAAGGCAAGCATCTTAACCACTAAGCTATTCAACACCACTCAAATTCACTGCAATCGTTACACTGCGTAGCTTTCCCCTTGAATACGGTATATGTATTCGTTTATTTTTTATCTTAATCTTAATGTAATTTGCATTCATTTTTATATATTATTTTATCTAGATTCTCAAATTTAAATCCAATCTGGATTATTGTATTTAAGCAAAATGTTTGATTTTCATATATTCTTTTTGCGTTCCAAGAAACAACTGAAATCAAAAACAATATAGTATGACATATATTTAAGGGTTTAAAAGTACAACATATAGGCCTATATCAAATGTCGTGTAAATATCAAGAGCGTAAGAGTTTCAATTTTCCAATATAATGTTAGTAGGCCTCATTTCGCAGCTAAATCGTAGCAGGCATGTAATACAATACAGTAATCGATACCAACACAAAAGGTTAACCTACGTAGATCGGAATGATCTACCAGTATGTCTAACTTGCTGGCACATTTTTGGCCTAAGAGTACCCCGTGTCCTTATGCATTGCCCCGATTAGCTACACTGATAATTATATTTGGTACCAGATTCTTATTATAATATAGATGATGATGATAGGCCTAATGATAATGATCATGATGATGATAATAATAATAATAATAATAATAATAATAATAATAATAATAATAATAATAATAATAATAATTCAATTCAATTTCTTTATCCCACAAATAAACATACATTTTACATTTCACTTTCTTTTATTAATGTATAATAATAATAATAATAATAATAATAATAATAATAATAATAATAATAATAATTATTATTATTATTATTATTATTATTATTAGACCTACTACTATACCAATTACAATATTAATAATATTGATAATGAGACATTATGTTAATAAATATGATAATGAGATCATAACGATCATGCATGGATATTATGTTAATGGAGATGATGACGCTAATGAAGCTCTTGATACTGATATCAATAATTACACTATGCCTCTTAAATCTCTGAATTTATGAAATAGTATTTTCCCCCAAGTATTCCTATATTGACATTATTCTTTGTATGTTTAAGGTTAAACTGGCAGTCGACAGGCAAGATGGAAACGACGAAATCGACTCCGAGACCAAAATCTGACTTCAAAAACTCTACGTTTTTAGCGCCACCTATCGATTTCTCTTTTAAAGGTTTAAACGCCGTTTCAACTACAACCCTCGATTATGAGTACCCAAGAGAAGGGGGTAAAAAACTCAAACAAACCTCAGATGGGAAATACAGCAGTGCAACACTGAAATTGAACAACAATTTACTCGTGAATTGGGATGGATTTGGCGAATTTTTATCACGTGTTATGTACCGGCCCGAAAATCTGATGTGGCTTGATATGTCTTTTAACTACATTACTTCTATTAATGACGTTGTACTTCAGTTCAAAAATATGAATATTTTATATCTACATGGTAATACTATCGAAAAATTGGATGAAACTGATAAGTTGGTGAATCTGAAAAATCTACGAAGTTTAACGTTACATGGGAATCCTATTGAAATAGCAGCCGGCTATAAACAATATGTTATATCAACTCTTCCACACATTTCTATTCTAGATTTCAGTGCCATTATTCGATCAGATAGAGTGACGGCCCATTGTATCACTAGTTTTAAAGACTTTCATACAGCCAAGAAACTTGCTAAAAGAAAGCATACAAAAACATTTTAAATTTATGTCTAGAAGATAGTCCATTCTAGGAGGCCAAAATCTAAAACATAATGGCCATAGACCATAATGAAGAAATTGACAATTCAGCATATCAAAGTCAGGCCAATATGCCTAAAGAAAATAATATTGTCAATATTTATATAAAGGTAATATAATTAGGGGCCTACAAGACTAGTATACATCGACAAAACTTTTAAGACATTGGTGTTGTTGAGTGTGATCTAGTAATGGAGTAGGCTTAGGTAACGCTTTGATGATGTGTATCGTTGCATTGTGCGCGAAAAAGCGCTGATTTTTGTTGTGGGGTGTTTGAACAAGTGTGATATGGTACGGTATGGATTTTTCTTTTCAATTCTAAACACAGAAAACATGGCTACTGAATTACAGAAATTTCCCAAAGGTACAAAAAAGGTGTATACCCACTTTCTAAAAATACTGGTAGAAACTGTATCCTGCACACGGTGTTCTGTTTCTTCAGGCATCAGAGTTTCACAATAAATGACAGCATGATGGCATTACGCATTAAAAAAAAAACAAAAAAAAAAACTATAGGTCCTTACTATAAATATGACTGCTTTACTAATTATGATTATGATTACATACAGTCAAGCCGTTGGCGATAAAAGGTAGACCTTGTTACAACTTCATCAGAACTGCTGCTGACATTATATTAGCACTGCATATAAATCACTGTCTCGTACAACGACTGTTTTGATAACATATCAACTTTAAGATATTCGGTAAGGATGCTATCTCTTATAATTTATTATTTATATATTTTATGTTCATAGGCAATAATTATACAGTGTGCCCTCCGATTCGAGACCTCTTTAATTTGAGACCAACAATGTCTTCAATCTTTTAACACAAGCTAACCCTATAATAATAGACCGAACTCTGAGACCACCGAACATATTCAGGTACCGAGGCTGGTCTACATTTGGACGGAGAACTATTTGCAACATTGATTGTTTAATCTTATCATCTCTGGATATGTGACATGTTATCGTATCTCGAACATATAAGAAGAAGTCAAATTCTCTATTATTATCATAATCATCATCATCATCATCATCATCATCATCATCATCATCATCGTCGTCATCATCATCATCATTATTATTATTATTATTATTATTATTATTTATTATTATTATTAGGCATATTATTATTATTAGTATTATTATTATTATTAAAACCTTACACAATATGTGTAATATGTGGGATGACACTTCACTTGTTGAAGTATAAGCAAATTGGTTAATTTAATTTTTAAATCTTTTATTTATATAAAGGTAATATAATTAGGGGCCTACAAGACTAGTATATATCGACAAAACTTTTAAGACATTGGTGTTGTTGAGTGTGATCTAGTAATGGCGTAGGTTTAGGTAACGCTTTAATGATGTGTATCGTTGCATTGTGCGCGAAAAAGCTGATTTTTGTTGTGGGGTGTTTGAACAAGTGTGATATGGTACGGTATGAATTTTTCTTTTCAATTCTAAACACAGAAAACATGGTTACTGAATTACAGAAATTTCCCAAAGGTACAAAAAAGGTGTATACCCACTTTCTAAAAATACTGGTAGAAACTGTATCCTGCACACGGTGTTCTGTTTCTTCAGGCATCAGAGTTTCACAATAAATGACAGCATGATGGCATTACGCATTAAAAAAAAAACAAAAAAAAAAACTATAGGTCCTTACTATAAATATGACTGCTTTACTAATTATGATTATGATTACATACAGTCAAGCCGTTGGCGATAAAAGGTAGACCTTGTTACAACTTCATCAGAACTGCTGCTGACATTATATTAGCACTGCATATAAATCACTGTCTCGTACAACGACTGTTTTGATAACATATCAACTTTAAGATATTCGGTAAGGATGCTATCTCTTATAATTTATTATTTATATATTTTATGTTCATAGGCAATAATTATACAGTGTGCCCTCCAATTCGAGACCTCTTTAATTTGAGACCAACAATGTCTTCAAACTTTTAACACAAGCTAACCCTATAATAATAGACCGAAATCTGAGACCACCGAACATATTCAGGTACCGAGGCTGGTCTACATTTGGACGGAGAACTATTTGCAAGATTGATTGTTTAATCTCATCATCTCTGGATATGTGACATGTTATCGTATCTCGAACATATAAGAAGAAGTCAAATTCTCTATTATTATCATAATCATCATCATCATCATCATCATCATCATCGTCATCATCATCATCATTATTATTATTATTATTATTTATTATTATTATTAGGCATATTATTATTATTAGTATTATTATTATTATTAAAACCTTACACAATATGTGTAATATGTGGGATGACACTTCACTTGTTGAAGTATAAGCAAATTGGTTAATTTAATTTTTAAATCATTTTATTCAATCAAGTATAATTTTATGTGAATTGTTTGTAAATATTGTTTACCCTCCATATATCTGAGGTTTTCAGTTATTGACCTGGGTTTTTATGTACATTCTTTATGTGAGATTTGTAATAAAGAATGATGAAGAGGATTATTATTATTATTATTATTATTATTATTATTATTATTATTATTATTATTATTATTATTATTATTAATAATATTATTATTATTAATATTATTATTATATTATATTATTATTAGTATTATTATTATTATGAATAATGTTATTATTATTATTATTATTATTATTATTATTATTATTATTATTATTATTATTATTATTTCACAAGATGTTTTAGTGTTCAGCTTGTAATGGTGAAAACGTTGTCTTTGGTTACATACATTTACATTTCATTTTCCAATATTTGATTAAATAACCTAGTGACTTAGTAACAGTCGACTTCATTGTGTATCCGTAAAAGATATTAAACCATAATAAATCTAATTAGAAAAGACCTCAGCTGTGCATAATTTTTCTATGTACAACTTGTTCAGATATTTGTGTGATGTGATATAAAAAGTATAATGTTTACAAACACGGTTTTCTTTAAATATTATTATGGTATTTGTTTCATTAATGTTAGAAGATGGCCGATCAAAAGCAAATACGTGTGATGCTGTGGTGTGTACCACGAGCAGGTTCAACAGCTTTCCTTCGCTGCATTGCTGGCAGAGATGACGTCAAGGCATTTCGTGAGCTTTTCGTTGCTTGCAGGTTCTTCGGACCAAATGCAACATCAGGATTCGCAAAAGAACTCAATGCACCAGTTGAGAATGAATTCACGTACGAAAAGGTTAAAGAAAAACTGGAAGCCGATTATGATTTTCCTGTAATTTTTGCTAAAGATGGAGCTAAATCAATCTATGGTCATTACAACTGTATACCAAAAGGTTTCCAACACACTTTCTTGATAAAGAAGCCATCAAAAATCCACATGTCTAAAAAAAGATTATTTGATAATTACAAAGTGTCCATTGCGTCAGATAAAAATGCGACTTACGATCAAACAACCGATGATCACTCTGGGTCACCTTTGTACGAAATGCTTGAACTTGTAAAGTATGTTCGCGACGTGCTCAAACAAGAGATAATTATCATCGACGGAGATGATCTTCTGGCGAACCCCGAAGCCATGATGAAGAAATGGTGCGAATCTGTTGGTATACCATTCAGACCCGAAATGATGACATGGAAAAAGAATTGCAACGTAAATTGGGAAATGTCAGAGGGTCACAAAATGATGATGGACATATTTCCTAAAGCATCATATAATGCACTTAATAGCGTCGGTTTCAGTTCTCATGTTGCCGCAGAAGAAGTTGATAAAACAGATATACCTGAAGATGTTTTAAAATGTATTGAAGCATCCGAACCATACTATAAAGAATTATATGCAATGAGAATGACAGTTGAGTAATTTCAACAATTCTCTAATTAATAGGCCTATTAAGTCTTCTACTGCATTGTTTACACATATGACAAACAAGTATTATATTGTGTTTAAAAGTTGAAACAAATAGCCAGTTTAATATTAAGAATACTACAACCAACTAAAGAGTTATCAACTTAAGTGAGAATGACAGAGTTGAATCATACAGTAATGGCGAAGCCAAGGGGTTGGAAGGCCCTCTTTACCAAACTTTCCTTAAACCCCACTCCCCAAATGGTAATGACGTTATAGTTAATTTATACATATATGAAACATATCAGAGAATTTCAATTTCAACTACCGTACTCGCGCGAATAAGCACCCCGTTTGAATAAGCGCCCCTCTTGAATGAGCGCCCCTCCTAACTTGAGAATTTCCTTAAGCGCCCCGTTTGAATAAGCGCCCCTCATTAATTCAATCAATCCTGGACTGTGGATGTTGGCATGATTTGAGGTGTGGAGTGGAATCACATTCTCCTTTAGTCAATATCAAAATGAGGATATTTATCTTGGACAGATGAGAGTTCCCCGGACAGACAGTATATTTCCAACTTTCATCTTCTTACATTTTTCTATAGCCTAATCCTACTGCTTTTCCGACAATTTGCACCTAACACATTCTCATCTGAGTTTTCAAGAAAACCTGCAATGATCATGCCATCCTGTTAGTCTCAATCGGCCGATGGCTAACAAGCTAACCACCACCACTAATTTCATCTGATATTCTGCTGTTATGTAGGCCTAATACTTACTCGCAACATTCTTGTCATGACGAGCCATGCTCTCTGATTATTACATATTATTACATATTGTATCAATATGATTGGCTGGGCTTGCGCATTCGTATTCGTCGTGTCGCATCATTAGTAGGAAGAGGTCAACTAATTGTATTTTAAATGTTATTCATGACATGGCATTAAATACAGTAGAACACCAACAATACCTTAATCTTATAAGGGGCCCAGGAAAAGTAAATTTATGGCTATGTACCCAAAGTTGATAAGATTGGTTTAAAGGAAATGTAGGCCTAACATTACGGCCAACACATTTATAGTAGAACTACCACTAATAGGAATACCACTATGTCATTATGGTGTTATTTAATATATAATTATATGTTGATGTTGTTTTATACTGAATATAGTCAAGTCATCTATTTACAAAATTGACGTCTTAAACAAACCCATATTGCAGAAATGGATAATAGAATATCCCCGGGGCTTTATCCCCTGAAACCTACTGCAGACTTTGCATAGCTGATTCCGTTTAACGCTTCAACTGAGCCCCAGTGGCGTATCTAGGTGGTGCGGACCACACCCCCACCCCCACAAAAAAAAAAAAGAAATCTCATCTCCCAGTCGTCCACAAATAATCACCACAAATCAACTTATTTCATGGGGTAGAGCCCTTTCACATAATCATCAAGGCCTTCCACTTCACCTTTGACCCATCAACCCCCACCCCCATTTCAAAATAAATACGCCACTACCCTTTCTCCCGACTTCCTTCATTTGCGTATACGCAACTGGATTGAGCTAAGAAAGAAAAGGATTGGATACAAGGATAGAAAGGATAGAAGTGAGAATGGAAGGAAGTTAGAATGAAGAGAGAGGGCGTGGGAAATGCGGATGAAGTTTGGTTCACTCTCCACACGAGGCCTAAGACCCAATTGCAAGGAGTCACGACTGTAACACTCGTTGAGTTGCGTCAAGGCTGTCAATTTCATTATAAATACATCTCCGATCGATTTCAAGTTTTTAAACCAGTAAATCGTTTCAATATTTTGTTACTGTAATATTTCTCACTCTCAGAATATCCCAAATATTTTATATTTGGTAAGTAATAGTTTGGTTACTCTTTACATTTTCAATTAGAATTTTACCCTATACATTAGCCACATCATACTGAACTGCAGTGTAAGTCGGTCGGGCAATGGTTTTGTAGATAAGAATAGGCCTACGCGAATTATCTAAAGATGAAAAACAATCGTTTATAATACCACGCCGCGAATTCGCAATTTTAGAGATTTTCGGTGCCGGTAAGATCTGCGTCACATAGTCAGGGGCGGATTCGAAAGGGTATGCGCCCGGACCCCCTAGGGTAGTGTTATCTCGATCAGTCCCACTTTCGGCCCCTTCCCCACTTTTTGACATCTCTGGATCCGCCCCTGATAGTAAATTCTAAATCATTTTCGATTTAGACCTGATTGGAAGTAATAGAATAAATGTAACCAGTAATTGATCCATCAATAATTTGCACAATCGTTAAAGCGCATTTGCCAAAGGTTGTTCATATAAGTTGAACCTTAAAACTACAGTCCGTATTTTACTGATCTTACATGAACATCCGTAGGCTTATAATTATTGACAGGTACACGATGCCATAGCCAGCTACTGGGACAGTAGGGACAGTCCCACACAATTTTTCTAATGGGTAAACAAAGAATGGGTCCATAATATTTTTACAAAAGGGTCAAAATTATGCAGTTTCATGCATAATTGAGTCCATTTTTTAAAAAATGTGTCCATATTTCTCATAGTTAGCCTAAAATTGGTAACATTTTTAAATAATGGGTCCAGATTTTTCATATTTTTGCGTAAAATGGGTAAACTTTTAAGAAAATAGGTCCACATTATTTGAATTTACGCGTAAAGTGGGTCCACCCTGACATTGTCTCCTACTGTTTGACAATCCTGGCTACGGCATTGCAGGGACGTAATGACTCAGTTGCGAGAGTTAATATGAAATATAGGCCTAAGCCTAATAACAAAATACATACTGGTAGGGAATAAATTAACAATAAAAAACGTCCTGTACACATGAATTCACACATTTAATTGAACAAATAATGTTTTAAATTAACACTAACTGGCTTAATAAGTTGCAGGTATAAAGAACCTAAAGTGTCACTAATTGATGTAATTATACAACGTAGTGGGCCTATATAAAGACGTTCTGTCGAGCCTTGGTCACACTCAATCCTTCTACTGGTGTGAAGAGTTGTATCAATACGAAATAGCTGATTGCAATATAAGGTAAGCATGTTAAACAGGCTTGGTATACTTATATCTGTATAGGCCCCCGGTATTCAACCCCTGGCCCGCGGACAAACTCTGGCCCCAAAGATTTTGATCCGGCCAGCGTGACATTGCTAAAAATAAATAATTTTTCTGGTCGATTGTCAGTACTGTATTAAAGAAATAGTTTTTCTGTTAGTAGAAACACATACACCTACTCTGTCATTGTTAACAAGGGTCTCAGTCTGACTTTCCAGTAGGTATGTGAGACTGATGAGGTTAAAAAAATAATAAAGTGCGTGTGGGGCGCTGATGTGATGCACATGTCATTTTGTTGGGGGGAAAAAAGTTTTGAAAACGTATTGTTACAGTATAGGCTAAGAGTGCCGTTTCCAGGCATCTAGAAGTGTATATTTTTTTAATTTCTCACCTCAGCCCTAACCATGGTGGGGCTGAGGTAAATGTGGGTCTTTTGGGGGATATTGGATTCCTCGTCTATAAATTTTTAACGCTGGCATTGTTTTTAACCATTTAGTACTTCAGTGGTTTTTAGCGCTCGGAAAATTTCTAGTGCCTGTTACGTCGGCCCGCCGCCGGTCTCAACAGATTGGAACTGGCCACAAGCTTAAAAAGGTTATACCCAGGGTGTAGACCATATCTATATAGCCTATGCAATTACTGTATCTAATTTTCAATCCCAGTTATGCGACTTACAATTTGATTTAATACAAATTACTTGCAATATTTCCATTAACAAAGAAATAGTTAAAACCGAGCCTGATAAAACAAATTAGATCTATTTGAGGCATAGGCTATAAAGTGGTTATTGGCATTGGCACCTGTTAGACCCAAGCGACTAATGTTTAGGGGTTCCTCTTCATTACAAAAGCTCGAATATCGAATTATCCAATTATCTTATCATCCATTTTAAGTAAAAAAAATCATCTTTGCAGCCAAAGTATTCAGATAAATATAAAAAGTGAACAACTATGATTTTAATAACAAATGAAAGAGAAAAAAATGTTTCTGAAACAACGCTGTTAAATGCACTTTATCATAGATATTTATTATGTAAATTTTATCAATGATTCTGTTTTATTTTAATTCAATTTTAGATGGCCGATCAACAGCAAACACGTGTGATGTTGTGGTGTGTACCACGAGCAGGTTCAACAGCTTTCCTTCGCTGCATATCTAACAGAGATGACATTAAGGCTTTCCGTGAGCTCTTTGTCGGCTGCGCTTTTTTCGGACCAAATGCAACATCTGAATACGGCAAGATGTTGAACTACCCCATCGAGCCTGATTTCACCTATGAGAAAGTTAAGGCAAAACTTGAAGCAAATTATGATTCTCCATTTATTTTTGCTAAAGATGGAGCTGATGTGATTCACGGACATTTCGACAGTATACCGAAGGGTTACAAACATACCTTCTTAATAAGAAAACCAGCGAAAGTCCACATGTCGAGGAATATGCTTGTTCAGAATGCAAATGCCTTTATGAAAAATAAGAATCGGCCTACAGTTGGTTATGATGAGAGTCTACCACACCTAAGTTCGCCATATTATGAAATGTTCGAACTTATCGAGTATATACGAGACGAGCTCCATCAAGACATATTTCTTATCGACGCAGATGATCTTTTCGCGAATCCTGAAGCCATGATGAAGAAATGGTGTGAATATGTCGGAGTTCCTTTCATATCGGAGATGATGCATTGGAAGGCGGATGGCGAGGTAAAATGGGAAATGTCGGAGGGGCACAAAAAGCTTATGAAACAATTTCCGGCAGCATCGAAGAATGCACTCAAAAGTTCCTGTTTCAGTACCAGCGTTGCCGCCAAAGAAAACGATGTTCAGAATATCCCAGAGGATGTTATGAAGTGTGTTGAAGCCTCACAGCCGTACTATGAGAAGCTTTACGCAATGAGAACCAAACTTCAGTAAACTGTCATAAAGCTTTGTCCGCGCTGTCAAATTTTATAGTGATAAACACCTGTAAATGTTCAATATAAATGGCGTAAAATCGTCATGAATATGTATAAGTGTGATAAATGGTATCCATCATCATGCCCATATATGACAGATAACAAGTACTGTATTTGTCAAGTAAAACTTGGTAGTTGTAACAGAGCTTTAATGATATGATATAATATTAAAATTAGAGAGAAAAAAAGTCAATATTGTAATAAAATTCTTTTTTTTTTATTGTGATAGTCTGTACTGCCTGGTTGAAAATGGCTACATTGTTTTCACTGCAAAGTAGCTTAAAACTTGGCTGCACTATGTGTGAGACCTCAAGTTGTACGATGGGACTAGTGGTCTTAGGTCCGCAATGATATCATACAGGCCTCTGTAGTCTTATCATTATGACACTCGCTGAGATTGTGGGTTCAATTCCCATTAGACTTTCAACTTTCGTTGATAAACTATGTTTGATACGATTTGTAAC